ATCAATTCTTTTGAAAAAAATTATAATATTTGAAAATTCTAACCATCCAAGGCCAAAAAGTGTTTTTTTTTTAAATTTCAGGTGGAGACATCTAGTGGCGAAACTCAGAAGGTCCTAATCCGACCTAATATGACCTAAATCCGACTTAAGGGCACATGGTTAGGTTGTGACCAGTTATGACCAGTTTGGTAATCCAATCTGACTAATTAAAGGTCAAGTTATGATCAGTTAGGACCAGCTAGGTAAAGCAACCAAGTCCGACCAAATCCAACCAATCTTGACCAAATCTGACCTAAGTGGATTGGTCAAGTTAAGACTAGTATGAGACCAGTTAGGTAACTCAACCTAACCCGACCTAACCTGACCAAACACAACCTTTTATTTAGTGTTTATTAGATCTATGCAATTTAAAAAAAAAGTTTGAACAAGAGCAGTCTTTGGCGGGGTTGGAACAGGCTTTCGCAGGGTTGGAGCAGGCTTCTGCGGGGTTTGAACAGGGTTCTGCTAACTACCTGGGTTGGAACAGGATATTGCGGGGTTCATTGCCGCATGGCCCCCCCTCCCTCATCGAATTCGTCACTATAATTCCCCTGTTTCTGGGACACAGCTGTATTAATTGCAGATGCAATTAATCCGACCTAAATGCATATTATTAACCGACCTAAATATATTTACAATCTAGAAGTCAGTTTGGGACATTTCGCTTGTCGAACCTACAGATTTTTAGGTCGGAAAAACGTTAGGAATTGGAAACGCAAAAGTACGTTTCCTCTAGGTTCGATGAGCGGAATGAGCGGGGAACACTACACTCACTACACCGTCACCATAAACACAACGCCAATGCCTGAATGCCGCTGAATATTCTCTAACGTTGACAATTTTCCCCAAACCAAACCTGGGTTTCTCCGGTCCGGTGTGATGACTTTCCTGAAAAAGTTGAACTTCTGAACCTGAACCTTTTAAACATGAAAGAGTAGAACATGGTTATTGCTCTAATTAAAATACGGTATATTCCTGGAGAACGATTTTTGGACCCCCCCGTTATTTTATTGTGATTTTAAAATATTTCTTTCAGATAAAAATGTAATGTACAAGTTGACTTTTAATTTCCACTGAATGCGTGATATTTTCTTGTGCGTTCTGACTGTTATAACTTGTTGAACTTCCCCCTGCCCGGCCCTCCACCATGTTGTCCCGAACATCTAAAAAATATTTGCTTCTCGCATTTCTCTCTTTGACAGTTCTCTACCTATTCATTCAGATTTCGAACAAGCAAGGTGAGTCAATCAGAGGTGTAAAATATGTTAAAATTGGGAACATTAATGATTTTTTACGGGAAAATCAATAAATTTTTGGGATGAAAGTATAACTAAATTAATAAAAACTTAAATTATTATATCGTGACCCCATACAACAATATTTTCTCAAAAGTAAAGCCTAAAACCAAATGATAACTTACTTTTTTGGCTTCCTGGATCCGGATCCAAGAGGCTTAAAACCATTCAAAACCTGCTTAAATTAACCTTTTGCTCTCCTAAACACAAATCTAATTTGACCAATTAGCGATTATTTTATCTCCGAATGTTTCAGCACAAAACTAAGTTAAAAAAGATAAAAGGTTGAGATTTTTTATCTGTTCAAAAAATCAGTCATATCTATGGAGCACTCATTCCTTCATGGGTACCGAAATAGGGGGTTAATCCACACGGCGAATCTATTCTTACTGTTTTTATGTCACTAACATGACTGTCGACGGCACTATTGACCTTTTTGGCCTCCAAGTGGTCATTTTGGAGGTCATATTATATCCATGGAGCACTCATACCGTCATAGTTACCAAAATAGGGATAAATCCACATGGCGAATCCATTTCTACTAACTTGCCTGGGGTCCAGATTAACCACAGTAGTTTGCTTTTAGTAAATAACTTAAAGAGCTTTCTAATGACACCTTGATTGTAAAAAAATTGAACGAAAATTGTTTCCTCAGTAAGTAATACCCCTACTGCACAGTTTTTTCTGGGACACCCTGTATAAGGGTGTAAATAAGGGTACAGGGTGTACTCATAATTTTGTAATTTAGAAACAAGTTGTCGTGATGTCAGTTCTTCGAAGAAAACGTCTTTAATAGGCAGCGACGGCAAGCTGTATGAATATGACAGGTGACATTTAAATAGACTGTTGACAACATTCTAGTATCTACATTTAAAACATTCTAGTATCTACTTTCATGCTTTGTTCTTGGAAATAGATAACTTTCTTAATAAAGTATCTTAACAACATTACAGACTAGGTTTTTAGGGTACCGTTGTGAATTAAGGGTTGAACTTAAAATTACGAAGACAGTTTCTTGAAGTGAGAATTAGCTGACTTAATTTGTCGAATTAAAAATGAAATTAATTACTGTAACAATACGTAAGTTCTAAGCTTAAAAAAAAGCAGCCTTATTTTTTATTTATATATTATGGCTGCCTGTCGACACAAATATTTCCTAGGTATCTACTCCTTCCACTAATCAATCTCATCTAGAAAATTTTGGATTAACGACTTATGTACCACCATAGCATTGACGTTATGTTTACTATATAGGCATCCTGGGGGTCCACTTAGGGTTCTCTTTTAGATTTGATTTGATTTGATTGGATTGGAATGGATTTGATTGGATTGGATTGGATTGGATTGGATTGGATTGGATTGGATTGGATTGGATTGGATTGGATTGGATTGGATTGGATTGGATTGGATTGGATTGGATTGGATTGGATTGGATTGGATTGGATTGGATTGGATTGGATTGGATTGGATTGGATTGGATTGGATTGGATTGGATTGGATTGGATTGGATTGGATTGGATTGGATTGGATTGGATTGGATTGGATTGGATTGGATTGGATTGGATTGGATTGGATTGGATTGGATTGGATTGGATTGGATTGGATTGGATTGGATTGGATTGGATTGGATTGGATTGGATTGGATTGGATTGGATTGGATTGGATTGGATTGGATTGGATTGGATTGGATTGGATTNACATCAAGGTTTGTGCTATGTTGGACGCACATCCAGGTTAGTGCTATGTTGGACGCACATCCCCATTATTGCTATGTTGGACGCACATCCAGGTTAGTGCTATGTTGGACGCACATCCATGTTTGTGCTATGTTGGACGCACATCCATGTTTGTGCTATGTTGGACGCACATCCAGATTTCTGCTCAATCTGCTCTTTTTCCCTCTGTTTGGATATCCTTACCGGATTCCTGTAATTTTTTGAATTTCCGGATTCTGAAAAAAAATGAAACCGACATTCTAAATGCCAGAGGTAGTAGAATTTATCACATTTATTTACTATCATTGACACTGAAACAAACCGAAAAATCATCGAAAAATATAATATATTTAGATGTTCGGTGTGGCGAGGAGACTAGGGTTGTTCCGAGATTATTACAAATGAGATCCCATTGGTTAAAGTCACAGAAGGAGTCTCTACGCTTGGAGGAAGCGGGTAAGATTAAAGGGGCTGTTATGACAATGAAACTTTAATTTGTATACTTGCACCTATTAATTGTACACACTTGATACCATGAATTGTACATTTGAACCTTTGAACCTTTGAACTGTACATTTAAACCTTTAAACTGTATTTGAACCTTTAAACTGTTTTTTGAACCTTGAAACTGAACATTTGAACCTTTAAACTGTATATTTGAACTTTTAAACTGTAAACCTTTAAACTTTATATTTGAACCTTTAAACTGAACATTTGAACCTTTAAACGGTACATTTTAGCCATTAAACTGTACATTTGAGCCTTTAAACTGAATATTTGAACCTTCAAATTGTACATTTGAACCTTCAAACCGTACATTTTTAACTTTAAACTTTATATTTGAACCTGTAGGTTTGACCGGAGATGTTCTTGATTCCGCTGTATCTTCGTTCATCTTAGAAGTTGTGGCAAAACATGCTGAACCCGCAAATAGGTAAATAGTAAAATAAAAATGGTTCCTGTTATCAAGAATGCAAGTGTAAAATTATCAATTAAAATGTGATCAAGTTTTTTAATAAAAAAACAATTCTCAAGATTGATGATTGACAGATCAAATATTGATTATTTTAACGAACATTGATTTATCGATTTATTTTTATCTGAATGATTAATGGCTTGATGAATCCACGAATTGGGATGTAAGTGGCAAAATGCTGAAATTGACGGATTGGATAATTGATTGATTGATCAAGTAATGAATTGTTGGTTGATTTGTTTATTGATGCATTGATTGATTTGATGAATTCATCGATGGTTTAAAGAATGGTTCGATTGGTTGATTAATTGATTGAGGAATGGATTGATTGATTGTCTAGGTTGTGTAACAAGGATCCTTTCACCTTGAAGTCCGGGACCTACCTTCACCAGCTATTCCCTAACGGGAAATTCCTCTTCATGGTTAGGTAAGTTATTCCCCCTCCCCTGGGGAAATATGGGGGAATATTCCCCCTCCCCTGGGGAAATATGGTGGGGGATATTCCCCCTCCCCTGGGGAAATTTGGTGTGGGGGGGGGGGAAAGGTTTAAAAGCTTGGTCATGTCTCACGGTAACAAATTTTTTTTTAAGAAACCCAACTTTTAAATGCCTCATTCACAATTGAACATTTAATTTGAACCCGTAATCTGATTGTAGATAACGAAAAGTATTGAAAATTTAGATATAATTGTTAATGTCTATTTTTGCCCTTTCGGTTGAACAGACTAAATGATTTAATTGGTAATATAAAATGACAGATTCTCCCCTATTATACAATTTAGATATAATTGTTAATGTCTATTTTTACCCTTTTGGTTGAACAGACTAAATGATTTAATTGGTAATATAAAATGTCAGATTCTCCCCTATTACACAATTTTCCCAAAACCTGTTCTGCTGACAAGCATTTCTTCTGTTCGTTTAAATGTTTTCTCAATGTTTGTTGATGTATTTTTCATTTTAGGGATGGTCGAGCTACTGTGCACAGCATTATAACAAGGAATCCATTTTTACAAAAAAGAATTGTTGACATTTTTTGCTATTGTGAGACCATAAGACTATGGAATAAGATGACGACTTTTGACCAATCTGATATGCATTAGATGTTGTTTAAAGCAAATGGCATGGAAGTAACTTTTAGACTTAAAGTGAGGTAAATGGGTCTGTGTAGGGTACAGTGTACAATTGCTTTTCATTTTTTAAAAGAACAGCTTGAGTCTAATAGTTGTCAATGTTGCAATGAGAATTTTAATATTCATATTTCAATATACAGCTTACAAATGAAAATCTTAATAGTTTTTCCAACGTCTTTATCATTTTAGATTTATAATCTAATACTCTTATCAAGAAAGCTGAGGGTCGTTTGTCTTTTCTCATTTCTACTTTTTTTTTAATATTGATAATTCAACAATAAACAGCTATTTTCATAAAATTTTGACATTTGTTGTGAATTTGTAAGAAATGGATTGATTGATTAGGAAAGTAACAATTACTGGATTTGATCTTAAATCATACAGACAGTGCCTACAGAAATGGAACTCAGCTATTACAGGTGATTAGGGTGCCGGAATGAGCGGATTTTGGGCACTGACCCTTAACTTCAGAATCTTTTTTTCATACCTTACAAAGTTAAATTGGTGCATGTAAAGTAATATTTTAAAGGATGAAACCTAGCAATTTATGATAACAAATATTTACTATTTTGATTAAACTTTTCAAATATTAGACTTTTTTCTGTTTATAAATTTTTATTTATATTTTAGCAATGAACGATCAATGTACGGAGTTAGGCCCTGATCGTTGTTTACCAGTTTACTACGAACAATTAGGTGATATTTTTATTTATTTTTTATGAAGATTTCACTTGTAAAATTTTTTTTTTAGTTTTTCCAATTCTTTATAGCCCAATCGGTCTAGCTGTTTGGCCGGCTATACACAACATGTATGTATATACAAAAGTCTTGTTTTATTATATCGATTGTTAAAATTAAAATTCAAAAAATATATATTTGTTGTATTATATCTTATGACATTGACGAACAATGTTTATGCCTTAGGGGTCTGTAAATGTAGTTTTGAGTGTATTTGTATTTTTAGACGGGCATGTCCAATTCACAATCATACCCATTTTTTCATTTTTTCCAATTCTTAAAATATCACTTATTAACAAAGATAATGATATTTTATCCCTGTATTTGTTTAGTACTGCATCCTCAGCAATGGTTGAGAAAGATTCTTAAATTCCTCGACCTGCCCTGGGACGAAGCTGTTATGCATCATGAACAGCAGATTAATAAAAAGGGTAAATTCTAGGTTCTAGGTTTTAGGTTCAAGGTTCTTTGTTCGAGGTTCGAGGTTCTAGGTTCGAGGTTCGAGGTTCGAGGTTCAAGGTTCAAGGTTCGAGGTTCGAGGTTCAATGTTCAAGATGAAGGTGCAAGGTTCAAGGTTCGAGGTTCTAGGTTCAATGTTCAAGATGAAGGTTCAAGGTTCAAGGTTCAAGGTTCAAGGTTCAAGGTTCAAGGTTCAAGGTTCAAGGTTCAAGGTTCAAGGTTCAAGGTTCAAGGTACAAGGTACAAGGTACAAGGTACAAGGTACAAGGTACAAGGTACAAGGTACAAGGTACAAGGTACAAGGTACAAGGTACAAGGTACAAAGTTCAAGGTTTTAGGTTCTAGGTTTAAGGTTTAAGCTTCTAACTTCCAGAAACTAGGTTCAAACTTCTAGGTTCAAGATTTTCTTTTTGTTGTAGGTGCAAGATTAAACTATGTTAAGCAATGCTTAGATCAAGCTTAATATTTAATTGATATTTGTAATAGACGACAGTTTAAGCAAAGTTTATATCAAGCTTAATTCATGATAAATATTTATAGGAAGTGAGCGTTTAAGCAATAATTCACAAAGCTCAGATCAAGCTTAACTTATAGTTGATATTTGTAGGAGGTGACAGTTTTATCAATATTTCACAAAGCTTAGATCAAACTTAATATTTAATTGATATTTGTAATAGACGACGAGAAGGTTAGATCACGCAAAATTCATGATAAATATTTATAGGAAGTGAGCGTTTAAGCAATATTTCACAAAGCTCAGCTCAAGCTTAATTCATAATTGATATTTGTAGGACGTGGGAGGTTCAGCCATAATTGCAAAGCTTCGAGCTAGCTGAGCTCATTATAATTATTTGTAGGTGGTGTGAGTTTGAGCAAAGTGGAACGAAGCTCGGATCAAGTGATAAAACCTGTAAATCTTGACGCTCTAAGCAAATGGGTCGGGAAAATGCCACAGGTACAATTATTATTACAATCCATCTCTTGCATGTTTATCCATCTCGCTAATTTTCTGAATCCATTTTCTCTGCTCTGCAACTTAATGATAAAAACCATATTTAAAAGTTAGACAATTTTAAGCAAGCAAAAAGCCTTCAATAACCCATTAGTATGCTTATGTGTTAATGTTTTGATTATTCACAGGACACCTGGCGGAGTATATTAGAGAATTTCTGAATATTGTCATGATATTCATAAGGGTCTATATCATATCACTTTGTTATGCAGATATATTGAAGTAAAATAAAGTTTTAAAATAAAGGACTTTTTTCTTTGGTCGATTTTTTTTCTTTGTTTTTTCCGACACGTTTTTTTTGACCTTTCTGTATTTTCTGCCTCTTTGTCCCAATTCAAGAATTTAAGCCGCGTCTCAAATCCCCCCAAAACCGGTTTCAATCGAGCGCCGGCTTAAATCTTGAAAAATTGAATACAATTTTAAGTGAAACCAACCATATTTGAGCTGCGGCTTAAATTCAAGCCTCCGGAATAAAAACTCATCGGCTAAAAAAATGTTTATGAATATCAATAATGTTGAACTCTGTTTCAGGATGTTGTCGATGATATGGGAGAAATTGCTCCTATGCTCAAACATTTCGGATACGATCCCACAGGTATGTTGATTGATTGTTTTGATTTATTGTTTTATTGATTTATGGGTGGGCTGATTGACTTATTGACCAATTGACTGGCGGACTGACGGATTGACGGACTTGTGGACTGATTGACTGACGGGACTGATTGACTGACGGCCTGATTGACTGAAGGACTGATTGGCCGATTGAACGATTGGCCGATTGACTGATTGACTGATTGATTGCTAATATCTATGTTGTTTAGCGAACCCTCCAAACTATGGGAAACCAGATCAGTTTGTGCTTGATAATACTAATGACATTAAGGTAAATAATATTTATGGTAGAAATAACTGGCTTAAGTGCCCTACGTTGTCCGTGGAATTTTAAAACTACTTTTCAAAAAATCGAATTTTGAAAAAATCTAATTTTGGAAAGAAAAAAATTTAGACTATGTTACTCCCGGGGTAGGGTTCCCTCAAGACAATGTTGACCAGCTTTAGCTAACATAAAAATATATTAATATATATTTATATGTGAGCTAAGAGCTTTATCACAAAGATACTACTATAGAATTTTATAGGTAACTAGCCTGTGAACCCAGGTTCGCCCTAAACTTTATTTTTTATAACAGTCACTTCAGCCTATTCAACTGAGGCCTTTTAAACTAAGCAAAGAACATTCCCGTAGTTCTACCAAATTCCTCAGTCAACATTCGAGTAAAAAATTGGTTAAGGGGTTTCTAAGTTATTTTGAATGAGTGTACAAACAATCAAACAGAGATTACATCATAAAATGCATAGATGTGAAAGAGGGTATGAATGGGCATGTTAATTTTGGATTTGGTAATTTTCTTATTTAACTTTTTCAGGTTTCCCTATGGATAAATATTTAAAAAATAAGTATTTAGGGAGTAATTATTTAATGTGGAATTAATGTTTTAATAATATTAGGTAATAAGTAATTGGTTAAAGGATTGAGATTGGTAGTTGATTGATTGCTTGATATTGGATAGGTTGAAATTTTGCTATTCGATAATTTGAGCAATTTTTCCTAATTTTCCCACAATTTAGCGAACGAAAACCCAATACAATATTTAGTAAAAAAATTATTTGGGAAGGTTAGGGTTTTAGTTTAAAAAAATGAGTTTAAAATGAGTTTTAATTTAAAAAATACAATCCGAGCTATTTTAATTTATGAATGAATTGATTTATTGATTGATTGATTTATAAATCAATTGATTGATTTTTTGTAATTTAGGAACATGATGCTGAGTGGGATGAGATTGCTGAGAAGGTGAAGAAGCTAAGCAAGAAGGACACAATGCCGAGAGCCAAGGACGAGAGCAAAGATTTCGAATAGATCTTTCAATCCATCTATCACACGGGTCCGGAGATTACTCTTTCATTCAATCCATCAATTACACGGGTTCTGACATAATGCCCCTGTAAGCGGATCTAATAAACCTAGAATAACTGACTAAACTCCAACCAAACCTTCAAGTTGTGTCTAATGCCGCCATTTTGCGGGTTGGTCCATTTTGCGGTTTGGTGAAATTTGCCGCGCTAAACTCTTGTACACCTTTTCTCTGCGCGCACATGCCGGAACTGAATTTAGTTTTTTTCAAATATTTACACATTATATTTACTTGTACACGTTTTATTATTTATTTACACCAAGTACTAGTTGAGAATTTATAGTGTTTTTTTGTTTCTTGTTTTAAAGAAAATAATTATTTTTACTCTTTGAATGCTCACTTGCACGAGTTAAACTCTGTCATGAATTAAATTTGCATAATTATTGTTAATTAATTAATTTGTTATTAACTGTTTTGATATTTTTGAGTAATATAATACATAATAAGCAGTAATTTCTAAGAAAATTAATTTTGATGTTTTGATATTTTTAACTGAAATTTCAGGCCTTTCTAATTTGCTACAGAGTTCTGTTTCTTAAGGCCTAGGGTGTACACATCTGATTATGGGGGGGGGGTAGGGGGCAGAAGTTAATTATCAGGACAAACAGTCAAAATTATTTTATTTTTGTAATTTTGCACAAAAATACTTGAATGTCTAGATTAGATATTGTGATCTTGTTCCTCAGTTTTGCTTTTCTGCAGTTTTAAGATAATGCTACTTTTATTTTCGTGATACTTGCCTTTTATTTTATAGAGTTCTCAACGCTCAAAAAAAACAGAAATAATAAATGTTACGGAGGATTTTTTATTCTTTTTTTTCTGTAACTAATGATAAATAGAACCAGTTAAAACTTTTTTGTTTGCGGATATTTTTATGATATATGTAATTGTAATGATTTAATGGAAATATTTTTACAGTTTTGTAGTTGAATGCTTTTCTAGTGTCAGTACAATAATATTTTATAGAATTTGTGTGATTTTCTGTATGTTGTACAATTGTACAACTGCCGAGTTGAAAAAATGTTTGTTACTCCAGATCTGAAATACTTAGACCAATATAAGATCATGAATTAGAAAATTAATTGGAGTTAAAAAGATTGGAATTTACTGTTTTGTACTTCCCTGTACAGAACTGAATTGTACTTCATTTGTAACTGTTCTGTACAGTTTTGTACTGAAGTTAGCCTCGCGATACTTAAGTACACTGCACCCCACTGTTCAGTACAATGTATGTTTACAGTGCATGTGCTTGTTACAGTACTGCAATTTACTGCATTGTACAAAGGTTGAATCACTTTGTGATCGAGTAACCGCAAATGAATGCACCCCTTAAGACCTCTAGACAATATATGCTATAAAATGCGTCGATTTAATGAATTTTCCTTAAATATATAATTTTTAATCTTAATGTAATTGAAATATTATTATAACAATAATTTCAGATAAATTGATGAAAGTCTGATCAGACAGAAGGAGCATCGTTAAAAATTTTCAAGGAAACCCACAATATTATTAGGTCGGTTTTCAATTCTTCCACAATATTATTAGGTCGGTTTTCAATTCTTCCACAATATTATTAGGTCGGTTTTTAATTCTTCCACAATATTGTTTGGTCGGTTTTTAATTCTTCTACAATATTATAAGGTCGGTTTTTAATTCTTCCACAATATTAATAGGTCGGTTTTTAATTCTCCACAATATTATCAGGTCGGTTTTTAATTCTTCCACAATATTATTAGGTCGGTTTTAATTCTTCCACAATATTATAAAGTCGGGTTTTAGTTCTTCCACAATATTAATAGGTCGGCTTTTTAATTCTTCCACAATATTATTAGGTCGGTTTTAAATTCTTCCACGATATTATTAGGTCGGTTTTTAATTCTTCCACAATATTATAAGGTCGGTTTTTAATTCTTCCACAAAATTAATAGGTCGGTTTTTAATTTTCCACAATATTATTAGGTCGGTTTTTAATTCTTCCACAATATTATTAGGTCGGTTTTTAATTCTCCACAATATCATTAGGTCGGTTTTTAATTCTTCCACAATATTATTAGGTCGGTTTTTAATTCTCCACAATATTATTAGGTCGGTTTTTAATTCTTCCACAATATTATTAGGTCGTTTTTTAATTCTCCACAATATTATTAGGTCGGTTTTTAATTCTCCACAATATTATAAGGTCGGTTTTTAATTCTTCCCCAATATTATAAGGTCGGTTTTTAATTCTTCCACAATATTATAAGGTCGGTAGGTCGGTTTTTAATTCTCCACAATATTATTAGGTCGGTTTTTAATTCTTCCAGTGAGTTATTATAAATTTCTTGTCACAGACTATAATTTTAAATTAGAGGTCGAAATCATTGTGTGGGATGGTGTTAATTTGATCTCGATATAGGTCGAACTTTTTAAAGGAAAAATTTCCTTTCAATTTAAACATATCTATGCTGGGTCCTACCACTGGAAATATAGGAATTAATTTAATTCTTCGGAGGATTAAAAAATTAAGAAATGCTTCATCAGAGGATTAAAAGCTTAACAGTATTTATCCTTGATGTTGTAGGTTCAAATCTGAATTAGAATTTAAAATGTGATTTAGAAACATTAAAGGTTTTCAATCAGGAACCGACTCTAGATTTGAGTTACGTTGGTTGATTAATATTTGAACTGGCGGTAGGTTGTCAAAATTTATTAAATTCGGTCCGAGACTTCGAAGATAAAATAGAGTTAAATGCAAACTGAAGGATTGTATTTTATTATTGTTACATTTTATAATTGTATTTTTTTCATTTGCAAATTATGCCGATTTTTCAAATTTTGCATTTAAGTTTTGTTTTACGGAATTTACCATGATAAAAAATCATCGATCTACTTTATTTTGTCGTGTTATTGATGGATCGTATTTTACCGTGATTTCGATGGATTTTGGTTTCCAAAAATTTCTCTATTTAGCAAAATCAGATTTTCACTTATCGAGTTGTTTATCAGAGCTGAGAAATATTGTTTTGGATATTCACAATCCCGATTGTTTGATTTCGATATTCATTGTGGGCATTATTTATTCGAGGATCATGCATCCAATCAGTTATTCTTTTCCTGATCAAAGCTCTTTTTTTCCCTGACTGGGTCGGACTACCATGTGAGATTAAAGATTAATTTAATCTGGAGATTAAGCATTGATTTCGATATTCAAAATACATGAGATACTAGCCTAGCTCAGAGAAAACTACCATTAAAGAGACTGTAAGCTTAATTCCGAGTGACGATGGTCATCTTAGATACACAATGGAACCATTGAAACCTGAGTCTAATCAAGTGTTTATTAGATATTCATATTTTGGATTCTTTTAATATTATTAAAATATTATTAGATGGGTTTAGAAAAGCTTGTCAAACATTCGATGCCAGCTATGATAAGGTATTGTCACATTAGTTTTTTCACAGAATGTTTTGATTTTCATAACTTAAGATTATAATATAGATTGTTGGTAGTAGCTTGATGAGATGTTTTTTTATCTAGAAAGTTTAGTCAATGCATTAGATGTAATAAAAATAAAAAAAATTTCTTCTTTCTGACATTGAATTATATGTCCGAAATGATAACAATAGATTTGCTTTAATTTTAAAGATGATTAATTATTTTATATATATAAAATGAGAAGATGTGATCAAAAATAAAGTTTTTTTTTCTCCCTTTAATAGAAAGTATGTCCAAAATCACAACAATAGAAATTTTTATAATTCTGAATTTACTCTTAGGTTAAAACATGCATTTTACAGTTCAAAAATGAGTCATTTCTTAATAGAATAGGAATACCAATGACATGTTAGAAATGTTTCCTGATCAGGTTTAAACCCTACCTGAGATTGGAACCTTTGGTTTGTGAATCTGGGGATCAAGCATTAATCTCCGGTCATGTTTTACAGACTCGACCCCCGGGATTAACTTAATTACAATTGATATCCCGCTGAAATCTTGCCTCGCATAAATAAATGAAACTAGCTGAAGCGCCCGGCGTTGCCCATCAAAAAAATTTGAACAAAAAATTAGAAAAAAATATTTAAGAAAAAAAAATGTTTTGAAATAAAAATTCTAAATTTTTTAGCCTATAACACCCTCCGGCCATCCATTAGTGTCCACAAAAATTTCAGCCTAATTGGTCAAGCCGTTTGGCCGGCTGTAGGCAACATATATATATATATATATATATCAGTTGAAACACAACAATCTTCTTATAACATTTTATTCATAAACAAATTGTTTCATGCTTTTATGCAATCATCAGTTAATGGTTTGAGAATTTTTCATAGACATATATATATATATATGAATGTCTTGTTTAATTATATAGATAATGGTACAAGCATTTATCATTAAATTAAAGCACCCACATTTGATATCAAGCGTTCAACATTAACTAAATATCCAATCTCTGATCTTATCCTACTTTGCTTTCTGTTGACCTGTTTCCATCTCTGTTAAATTCAGTACTTAGAAGCCGGTGTGACGTGAGAATCCATCCGGGCGGGTGAGAATGTCCAAACTACTGTATTTCGGCCTGAAACAAGAAAATCATCTAATATTTGTTAGATTTCTTTAAAATTATGATATTGCGAATTATCATTTCATACATTTTAAATGTGCACGTGATACAAGTTCAAATATCTATTTAAAAAAATTTTTTTTGAGAGGAAGAGGACATTCGAACTGGCGTGTTGCTTTTCACATTTTTTCTAGTATTGCTATATTAGAATACTTATTTAATATCAAAGTTTGCGCACGGCAAGTGTTTAAAAATGCTTTCATAAATTAATAACGTGGGTAAGGTGTCAAAACTATTCAAAAAGGCCAAAAATGTAGTTGCCCGGACTTTATCTCATTCACGGGCCGATTTTTAACTCAGTGAATATCCACCAAAAACACCGAGAAAATAGATTTTGCTTTAAAAACACAGCATATGAGAAATTTGGATATTTTTTATCATTTCTGTCATCTCTACAGAATAAGAAGAAGAAATTTTGGATATTTTTTTTTGGCCCTTTGGGTAAAAGAATAAAGTAAATTTTCAGAAATTGTCATTAGCTGAATTCGGATCCCATGTTTTGAAGCATGAATGAAATGTATCCTAAGCACTAGTTTTATTTTTACTCAAAAGTTCAATTCATTCATTTAAACACAATGAGAAGAAACTTCTCAGCTGATTGCTTAAGAAATATCAATTACAAAAAGGAAGTTGTTTTAAAAGGATTTTTATTTCAGCATGGGTACGAAATATACCGCAAAGGAGGTTGTATCAATTCTACCGATTGTAGGCTTTACCGAACTTAAAAAATTCACCTTCTCCGAAATAATCGATGTTCGGTAAGTTCGAAAATTTTAGATTTACAAAAAGAAATTTTGAAAGAATATTTATTAATTTAGAACACCCCTTGAGTTTGCAGAGGATAGAATAAGAGGTAGACAATACAAAAAAACCAATTTTTTTTTAAATACATAATTTGAAGCATCCTTTATGGACACTCTAAAGTTGGGATTTTTGGTACTTTCCCAACGCCATTTTCCAGAGCAGCAAGTTTCCAAGGATATTTTCCCAAGTGGCAATTTTCCAAGTCTGTCCTAGCCGCAGCACTTGACCCTATAGCCGCAGCACTTGGCCCTATAGCCGCAGCACTTGGCCCTATAGCCGCAGCACTTGACTCTAAAGCCGCAGTACTTGGCCCCCTAGCCAATCTTAGCCGTAGCGATCGCCCTCATTGGAGCTTGTGGCGCCTCAGAGAGCCTAACCTAACCTTTGGGAAGTTGCCTAATGAGAAATTAAACATTTGGGAAATTTTCACTTAGGAGCCTTTAAGGAAATACTACACACCAAAATTGAGACACAAACTTGATAATAAATAAATATAATGATTTAATATATTTGAGGAGCTATAAATCTTCCTGTCTTGAATAATGAGCAGAGAGCTGAAGTAGGAACACTGTACTGCAGGTAAACCCTTCCCCATAATAGACTAAAGATGTTTTAGTTAGTTCAACCTCTTCCCTCTAATACTTTCAAATCTGAAGGGATTTATTTCTCTAAATTCTTGGTTGGTATGTTATTTAGTTGGTTAACTGATAGAGATATTGATTTTTGGATTGATTCATTGATTAATTAATTGATTAATTGATTAATTAATTGATTAATTAATTGATTAATTGATTAATTGATTGATTAATTGATTAATTAATTGATTCTTTGATTGATTAATTGATTAATAATTAATTGATTAATTGATTCTTTGATTGAGTTATTTGTTAATTCATTTAATGGTTTTTTAATTGATTCATTGATTGATTTATTGATTTATTCATTGATTAATTCATTGATTTTTATTTATTGATTGATTTTTGATTTTGGATCAATTGATTGATTGATCGGTATTTGCTTAGTGACAAATTGAAAGGAAGGAAGGTAGGAGCTGCTTTGATCTCCCGAAATATCAGTGATCATATTCTCAATCATTTCAAGGTAGAATATTTTCAAGTAGTCCTGGAGAGGGGCTTTTATGTACCTTTCAAACCTCTTTCTGACAAGGAATGATTTAGATATCGTCGTTTTCTTCTCTAGAAAAATGTTTAAAGATGTTGTCATAATTCTTTATAAATTCGGTGATGGTGATGGACCAAACCTCTGTAGAGTAAAAAAGTAGATGTTAGTTCTTTTATTGAAAATATATTTCGGTCTAGGTTGACCCTCGTCAGTTCTTGAGATTGTTTCTTCACAAAGATTAAAAACAAACAATTCTTTTTATATTAAATAGTGTCGGAAAAAATTATTAAAAATATTATGAAAATAAAACGGAAAGGTCAAAAAACAAAATATCGAAAAAACAAAACAAAAAATCAAACAATTCAAATAAAATTATTTTTTTTCTTAATGTGATGTGCTAGAACTTTGTAAATATTGACCATATTAACTTCATAATTTTTAAAATATTCAACCTTATGAATTCATAACTTCTCCTATATAATGTATCAGGAGTGCTGAGAATAATCAAAACGTAAACATAAACACATAAACCACAATAAAAATTAATGGAAATTAAGGAGGCCTCATTTATTGTTCTAAGGGTACCATTCTTAATCTGACATGTCACTTTACATTTGAATGGTCACTTATATACATGCGAATTTTACTGAGGATTTATCAGTTCTTAATATTAGATTATTTTAAATTATTAGATTATTTTTAAATTATTAGATCATTTTTAAATTATTAGATCATTTTTAAATTATTAGATCAATTTTAAGTTACTAGTATAGAGGACGTGAGTCAGACTCTAATAAAACGCATAAATAACTTCCAGTATATATATTTCTTATAACTTATTACTAGAGGGTTCAGAACTAGAGTCAATATCGATATCGCACGTGTAGTCTGTAGAGATGATATCAGTACTAATGCCCCGTATCCGTTCTATCTCATTCTGTTGAATCTTGTGGAACTAGTTTAACGCGGCCAGGCATCGTCTTCCACACTAGATAGGATATTAAAATTTACTTTTTTCGTTTCACCATTGGCCGGAACGGGAGGAAAGAATTACAATAGAATATTTAATTATATTTGTATTTTTTAGAATTTTCTTATTTCTGTATTATTAGTTTGAATACTTATCAAGTATTATGCTCGGTTTGTTTTATCTCTTTTTATAATATACTAGCTCAAGTGCCCGGCGTTGCCCGTGGAATTTTTTAAATCAAATAAAAATATTCCGGTTTTTTGAAGAAAACAATTTCGATTTTTGAAGAAAAAAAATTTAGATTTTTGCAAAAAAATTAAGAGTAGCATTTGTGATTTAAAACATCTATGCCCAGACAAAGGCTTAAAGGGTGTGAAGAGTGTGAAGCTAACATGCCAGACCGGAAAACGAGTTGAATTACGCTTATTCATTTTTTGAAAAACTTCGTTTAAATACATTATACAGGGTGGAATTAACAAAAGGTAAAACAACAGGGTGATTCTGTTTTCAATACAACTTTAATATGTATGTCCCAGTTCTCATCCCTTTTCTACTTTTAGATTGCATATATCAGTGTCTATGAAAGATAGAATAGATTACATTTTACATGATTACAAATATTTAATAGGTAATTTTACTTGATTAAAAATATTTAATAGGTAATTTTACATGATTACAAATATTTAATTGGTAATCTTACTAGATTGCAAATGTTTAATAGATTATTTTACTTGATTACAAATATTTAATAAGAAATTTTACATGATTACAAATATATAATAGGTAATTTTACTTGATTACAAATATTTAATAGGTTATTTTACTTGGTTACAAATATTTAATAGATAATTTTACTTGATTACAGACTTCTTGCTTTGTATCAACATGAAATACATGAAATTATTTCTATAAAAAAGTGTTCCTATTCCACAGTTTTCTGGTTCCCACTGTTACAAAAATTAGAAAGGGAACATTCCCTTTGTAACTGACAAATCCTAAAGAAAACCCGTTTTACAACATCGTGTCGGCCAAGTTCTCAACGATTTTCGCAAATTTACCTACCAACCAAGTTTTTAGTATTTACTTTTACGTTTAATATGAAAACTTAGGATTATAAGGTCGCAAATTTGTGCTAGTATGTCAGTATTTCATTTATTTTTGTGGGCGTTTTATATTAAATTATATCCCTGTTATATTTTACCCCGGTTAAATAATATTATATTCCTGTTATATTATATTATACCCCGGTTATATTATATTATATCCCTGTTTTATTACATTATATCCCTGTTATATTAAATAATGTCCCTGTTTTTTTATATTATATCCCTGTTATATTATATTATATCCCTGTTATATTATATTATATCCCTGTTATATTATATTATACCCCGGTTATATTATATTATATCCCTGTTATATTTGTAGATGATCCAAGTTTAAATCTGCCTGGATTATTAAAACGGTTGGAGAAGCATGCAGGAAAGAAAACATACACATTATGGATGGATATGCTGGGTAAGTCTGTATTATTCTATTAAAGAGCGTATACAGGGGGGAACTTTGAAGGATAAGCCCTCCTCCCTCTGGAAAAGAGAAAACTGATTTTCAAAGGGGATACATGGAAATTCTAATTGCTTTATCAATTATGTTCATAATTGCATATTACCCTTTCGAGGGGGGGGGGGTATGCAGATAATACAACACAGTTGAATAAAGTGGAAAAGGGTAGACAGAAAAGAAGAATATTGGAAAAAAATGATTATCTGCATTATAAACATGTATCAATTACTAGTTGCTTAAAAATTGTAAATTGTAAAAAATATGAAAATAAAAAATACCCAATTTGTCATCAAAAGTCTAAGCTCCCCTGCCCCCTCCCACCCTGGAAAAATTTCCTGTATGCGCCCCTGATTCTACTGAGACCCCCCCTTAATCCCCCTCACTAATCCCCCCTCTTCTCAATCTCAATTTATCCTTATCCTGGTACTTAGAGAAAGCCGACAAAACTAGTATTTTAGGCAAATTTTTTTTGTGACTTTTGTTTACAGACAAAACGAAAACATTTTGAATAATGATTGCATTTTTAAATAAAATTTTTTGAAATAAGAAATAATTCAAAAAATAATTTTTTAGAGAAGAAAGAGTACCGTGAGCTAGTGAGTAGTTTAATCCAATATTATGATGCATCCTACAAGGTTCCTACTGGAGAAGCAATAAGGTCTGAAATTAAGGGATTGGTTCTCTTTAATTCGTGGCTATTTTTTAAAATTTACAACGGTATTCTAACATTATCTTAAATAAAAACATGATCGCTTGACCATGACCTTGAACTTGGCCAAGACCTTGAACTTGGACAAGACCTTGAACTTGGCCCAAGACCTTGAACTTGGCCAAGACCTTGAACTTGGCCAAGATCTTGAACTTGACCATGCCCTAGAACTTGACTATGACCTTGAACTTGTCCATGAACGTAAAATTGACCATGAACTTTAAATTGACCATGAACTATGAACTTGACCAAAACCTTGAACTGTATTTGACCTTGGAACTTGACTTTGACCTTAAACTTGACCACTACATTTACTGTATCCGCGACCATGACCAAGACCGTTACCATGATCTTGACCTTGACCCTAATGTTTAGCGAGATGACTGTACCTGGTGGATATCTACTTGACGAAGACAAATTAACCTCAAGTCAGTTTATCACTGACCTGATAGCCAGGGGTAGAAAATATATGAGTTTACAGGTACGCTAAGTATTGAGATTTTTTTATTAGAGGGACGGTTGGAGTCATTTCAAGTGACCCATGATTCGCATCATACACTTTATATGTCTTTCTTTGATTAACATTTGATTTTCTATCTTGAAAATTTTAAAAAGTGTTAAATTCTCATAATTTCATTCATTTCCGATCTGCAACACAACATTCCTGTCAAATACAGAGAAGCCATGATTGAAAATAATCAAATTGAGCTAGAAAAAGGTTGGAATATCTCATTCATGTTTGATCAGAGCCCTCGATTCAAAAACTTCGGCTCGACTGAAGGAGTAAGGACCAAGGAAAATAAAACCGACCTTGGTTGGTTTTATTGGAGAATAAGGCTCAATTCCTACCATGAAAATCCGCCAAATAGAATATTAATTCGGTTTTTTGAACTCAACTGTGAAGAATAAAAGATGCAGCCTGAATCCGAAAGCTCAAGCCGTAGATAAGGTCCAACGACAGATTAGACTCGAGCCGTATTTTCCCGAGTTTTTTTAATCGCAGGTTATTGATGTGAATCGGACATGCTGCTCTGCTAGTTCAGGGTCACTTGAAATTGTGTCTACTCAGATTTAAGACTTTCGTCATTCCATTTTTTATTTCCAAGACTAATAGTTTTTATCATATCTGTGAGGTTCTATGGATATTTAATAAATCAAGAACAAAATTGAAATTTTTGTTTGTTGTATGGTCCTGGTTGATATTTTCTCTTGGTAATAAATAAAGGGGGGGGGGGGCCACAAAACGTATTACTCTCCGGAAAATTTAATCAGTGTTTAAACGTAACTTAGAATTGTCGTAGGAGGCTGATTTTTTGCATGCAAACTCAGAATTATGTATATTACGTGCATTTTTTGGTTTTGAAGGAATCTGAGCAAAAGTGCTTTTTAAATTGTTTTTTAATTTTTAGATTGTTTTTAAATTTTTAAATTATTCTCAAAAAAATTTCCAACTAATTTTAGTTGCAAATTGACTACAGGGGAAAAAATAAGCAATTTACTAAAAAAAACGTTTTAGTTAGTAATTTTAGTTTAGATTGCGACCCAAAACTTAATGCAAGCAATTATTTTTTACCATATTGCTAAAATTGATAGGTTGACTTGTTTTTTTATTTGATTTTCGGTCATTTTATTTAGCAAGCCTCCAAACTGGTTCTCTCCCTCTCACATTCATCACTTGCTAATAAATCTGCAAAAATAAATGATCACGTAAAATTTTCAACTTTTTTGAATTCATCCCTCACATTTTTTAATGAAAAGCTTTTCTCTATTTTTTGTCTAAAACGTCCCATTTATTTATATTTTTAACTTCGTAGTATAAACTTTTGTCAGTAAATGTTACTAAAAATCTGGCTTTCATTTCTTTGATGGGCTTTTGTGTAATTAGTTCAGACGTTTCAACGCATTTTTACTCTTATCTTTTATTCGCAAAAATATGAGAAATATCCGTTTTTGTTTATTTTGTAATGAAAAATGTACGAGTTGCCGAGTAAATTCGATATTTGTTTTTAAAAAGGTATTGCATAAATTTTTGTGTCGCACTCTATATTTAATGTTGTCTGATCGGTACAGAGCTGAACACTTTAGAATGAGATATCCTTAATCCCGATTATTTAATCTAAGTATCCAATGCCAATGGACACACTTGATTATCTTCTTAAACCGCACTTTCTTGGATTAGTAGAGAAAAATCAAAAACCAGTTTGTTAAAATTAGAGAGTCTCACCCGTTTCTGTATATTAATCTTAAATGGCGCGCAAAATTTTAAATTTATCGGCTTCATATAAGCGACTCTAATTGGTTGAATTTTATACACTTTTCAGGATACAAGAACAAGATAAAGTTAGTCTCGATATTAAGAAAAAGAGAGGATCAAGCATTAATCTGGATATCCACCATTCTAAAGTTTTCAGCTCTGGTCGGTTTCTACCTTGAGGCGGTCTGGATTGCTCAAGATGGGGCTTCTTGCAGATCTCGTCTCTTATTTTTTATTATTATTATTTTAGGAAAAAGATTTGAATTACAAACCTCTGATTTATTGCTGGAGAGGGGGACAAAGGTAGGAAAGGGCAAGGATGTAATGCAAGGAAAGTTATTTCAGAAGTGTACGCATCTTTTGTACTGCAGTGCACTGTCTCTGGGCGGTAATGTAAACACAAGACGGATGTTACAGCCTGACATGGGATCCATCTTTCACATAAAAAAAATCAATGAAATGTTCTGGTCATAGTAAACTATTATGTGAATTATCAAAATTATCAAATTTAATTCTTTTAACCACCTCGGATACTAAAAGAACACTGATGCATCTATTCTTGTTTACAAATTCCGCCGAAAGAGAACTGGTTTCTATATGTACGCAGAGTATGCAGTATGCACGACCGCAGTTAACTTTCCTTGCATTACACCCTTGGGAAAGGGGAAGTTACCGCTTGGGGAAAATGGCCTTTGGGAAGTGACCCTGGAGAAAATACTTGACACATACCCTAGTGTGGTTTTCTTATTATTGTTATCGTTGAATTTATAGTTTGAATTCTTATTCAAAATTCCTTCAAATTTTACCATATTAAAACATTTTTTCCCCAGTTTGTAAAGAATGTGCGTAGAGCAGAAAATTTAAAATTTTTTTCTTCTTTTTGGGAGAAAATATAACAGTGCCTTAAGTAAATAGTATCAAATATGGCGGAGAAGGGGCTTGCTAACATAAATTGGAAACTTAATTGTTGTGAATTTGATTCTTGATGATAAATTATATATCGTGTAATCAACATTTTAAATATTTCAGGTCTCGATCCATGGCGATTATACTAAAAGGAAAGTTTAAACAAAAAAAAATTGTCATTTTTATGTCTGTTTAAATGCTGTAGAATTCCTCGAGAAGCTTAATGAAAAGTTTGCCCCCATTCTGCAATCCCAATAAATATATATATATATCCATTATCCATTATCCAATACAATAAAATTAGCTTAGAATATAATTGCGGAACAAGTCAATTTCGTCAATAGTCCCTTTAAAAATATTTTAAACTTGTTGATTAGACAGTCCCTTTAAACTTATTTTAAAGCTTGTTGGTTAGACAGTCCCCTTAAACTTATTTAAACTTGTTGGTTAGACAGTCCCTTTAAACTTATTTAAACTTGTTGATCAGACAGTCCCTTTAAACTTATTTTAAACTTGTTGATAAGACAGTCCCTTTAAACTTATTTAAAACTTGTTGATTAGAGAGTCCCTTTAATCTTATTTTAAATTTGTTGATTAGACAGTCCCTTTAAACTTATTTAAAACTTGTTGATTAGAGATTGGATTTCAGCCTGTTCTACTTCAAGGAGGGTACAAGGCATACAGGCAACATGTTTGGTGAACAAATTTCATAATTTTATCAACACTTTTTTTACGTTTAAGATTTTAAGGGAGTGACTAGGCATGGTAGTTGAGCTGAGAATTACTGTAGAATTAGTTACCATGTCTAGCCACTAGCCAGTCTCTGCCTGGTGTCTCTTTATTAGGGCGTCCTGTTTTTGCATTGGAAGGAGAGACTGGCTATGTTTTGTAATTGAACTGAGAGTGTAGTATTAAAGAGAGGATTTGCGGTCTTACATAGCAATTATACACCGTAATAACGTTATGTGGTCTCAAATGAATTATTAAAATGTTCTCGATGACACTGCACTCTCAGTTCAATTACCTACCTAGCCAGCCACTTCCTTTAATAATGTTGATAAAAGTTGCCAGCTAATTTAAGAGACTCTAGAGCCTATTTGTTTATTTATAAATATAAAATATATTTTTTTATAATTATAATTTTTTTTAAGTTCTTACCTCTGTCAAGAGAAAACAGAAGATCAACCTTTAACTAACCTTGATAAAATTAGGCTCGTCAGGTAGAAATATAACATTTCTCATCTTACCTTAGGATTCAAAAATATGCTTTTTAGGTTTAACATTTCTTATCTTACCTAGGTTTTATAAATATGCTTTTTAGGTTTAAAATTTCTCATATTACCTAGGATTCAAAAATATGCTTTTTAGGTTTAACATTTCTCATCGTACCTAGGTTTTAAAAATATACTTTTTAGGTTTAACATTTCTTATCTTACCTAGGTTTTAAAAATATGCTTTTTAGGTTTAACATTTCTCATCTTACCTAGGTTTCAAAAATATACTTTTTTAGGTTTAACATTTCTCATCTTACCCAGGATTCAAAAATATGCTTTTTAGGTTTAACATTTCTGGTTTCAAAAATATGCTTTTTAGGTTTAACATTTTTCATCTTACCTAGGATTCAAAAATATTCTTTTTTAGGTTTAACATTTCTCATCTTACCTAGGTTTCAAAAATATGCCTTTTAGATTTGTTTGACAAGCACTCAATACTGAAAACATATTTTAAATTAGAATATTATTAAAAAAAAAAACAGAAATCAAGCGTTATTTCAATTTCTATCTCAAAACTATGATAATTTTCCGAAAATTAAACTGTAGAGTAATATAACACAGGAAAGAGAGGGAGAACGGAGGAGGGTTGGTTGTCTCATAGAATTGGGACTATGACAAACAATTTTTCATTAAATTAAATAAATTTTGTATGCTCAATTCTTTTTATTTTGTCATAGATCATTTTGAAATGATTTTATTTTCTAGAATAAACTGTTCTAGAGGGTTTTACATTTTTTAGAAAATGCTTGTCTAGATGGATTTATTTTCTAGAATGAACTGTTCTAGAAGATTTTACATTTTTTAGAAAAATACTTGTCTGGATTGTTTTATTTCTAGAATGAACTGTTCTAGAAGGTTTTATATTAGAAAAAAAATTTACCTAGATGCTTTTATTTTCTAGAATAAGTGGGGCCACTGGAAGCGGGAAAACCTTGCTTCTCAAAGCTCTAAAGGCTCGAGGAGAACAAATTCTAGATCTAGAAGATCTAGCGAAACACAAAGGTAAAAATCCCCAACCCCGTGATTGTAATATGCCAGGTCAGGTTAGGTTAAAACAGATAGATAGTCACGAGAGGAGTGCAATGAAGTTCACACCAGTTATGACATTGAATGATTTTGACAAAAACAATGACAATTACTAGAAAACATTGATAATGATGATAATCATGATTTTTACAATAATTATTACAATGATCCTTTCAATGACAATAACAATGATCATGACAATGGCCATTACAATGATCATGACAATGATTACGACAATTATCACGCGCGACAAAGATCATGACAATGAACATGGCAAGAAACATGACAATGAACATGACAATGAACATGACAATGAACATGACAATGAACATGACAATGAACAAGACAATGAACATGACAATCATCATGACAATAAACATGATGATCATCATGAGAATAAACATAAAAATAAACATGACAATAATCACGACAATAATGAATGATGTTAATAATCACAACAATTATCATGACAATAATCATGACAATAATCATGACAGTGAACATGACAATGAACATGACAATGAACATGACAATGAACATGACAATGAACATGACAATGAACATGACAATGAACATGACGATGAATATGACAATATTCATGTCAATGATCATGGCAATATTCAAGATCTTGATCATGATCACGATAATATTTAGGATCATGATCATAATTATATTCATGACCCTGATAATATTCAGGATCATGATCAGGATAATATTTACGACCATGATAATGATAATATACACGACTTAATCATGATAATATTCAAAATCATGATATTAATGATCATGATAATATTCAGGATCAATTCTCGGTGATTATCCATCAGAAAACCAGCCTAGTCAAAAAGGGTTCGAATCTGATTTGTTTAATAATATAGAAGAACTCAGGTGGGAAATATACAGGGTTATCCACAAAGGACGAGACTTCAAAGACGACTCTACGAATTTTATTTAGTCTATTTTTCTACACATTCTTTGACAAACCACTAGTACACGTTTAAAAGTCTATATCAAAGTACCAAGAACAAAATATAGCTTCACTCAGACATTACTAATGATGATAAGGTCGTCTTTATAGTCTTAAACTTTGTGGGTTATCCGGTGTTATTCACTGTTGATTGTTGTTTATTTGATTATCTTTTAATTTTCGTCAACTTTTTCATTAATTAATTGAACATTTATTCTTTAATAGCATCCTGTTCATATTTGAATATTCCCTTTATTCGACATTTTTTTCTGTAAAATTCATTCTCGTACTTTCGACTCAATTTTCCATCCGTGTATCCCAGAAATCCGTTTACTTATCATTTTATCCTCATGCATTATTATTGTTTAAGTAATTTAGTAGCTTGGAAACCCGGCTTTGCCTGGAAACTAAACTTTCTTTTTAAAAGCTTAGAACTTATATATTTGGATTCATGAGTTATGATTGGAAAGACAAACAAACAGAGATTTTACTTTTTTTTATTTATGAAATTTTCATATTTCATGTTTAGAATTTTTCATTTATCAATTTATAAAACTTTTTCCTTAATTTTTTGCATTTCTTTGGATTAATAATTCAATAAACTAATTGAATCAATTGAGTTAATTGATTATTCGTAATTTTATTAATCTTTACATTTGAATATATGCATATTTTTAAAAAGTTTTTTAAATCTAATTTGTCAGTTTAAAGATGAAAACTTTAAAAAATGTTACTTTTTCAGTCCGTCAAGTGTAGTTTGGATTGAGAACGAGGGGTCCAGAGTTGGAAATGTTGGAGTTTCAAGAAGGTTGGATTTTTTTATTAATTCTGAATATTTGACACGTTTAAGGTAGTTCTTTCACTTTATTAAGAATCTATGTTTTTTCTATGATTGGGGAAATATATGAATTTTTGGATGAAAAGTATTTTAAAGATATCTGGCAAAATAGCTCAATTTTTTCCTAAGAGGTAGTTAATGATAATTATTTTTCCATTTTTTATTGAAGTTTTGATCCCTCCCCCCCCTTTATACTACTGTGGCTAAATTTCCTGTATTCTCAATAGGTCTCATTTTCCATTATCGCAAAATTAAACAAAATAATGCATGAATTTCAAGCCCACATCAAAGCCACGAGCCCTTAGTCTAATTCTGATTAAGTATAGTTTCTGAAGTTTTCGACAAGGTTGATAGGATATCCATAATACTTCAAGATTTGATTTGACAGTCGAATTATTGTAATATGTTATTTTTTATTGTATTTTATTATTGTAATATGTTATTTTATTATTGTAATATGTTATTTTTTAGATTATGGGAAAAGATGTGTAAATCTCCAAGGTATGTGACCTTCTATACATTTAAAACTCTCAAAAGTATTAAGTGGCAAATTCCCAGTTGTGCAATCTCCCAAACGGCAACTTCTCAGGTCTGTCCTAGCTGCAGCGCCCCCCTCGCCCGTTCTAGGCGCAGTGCAGGGAACGAAAGTTAATTGCTCATTGCTGTTGCGTATTCTCTGCGTACATATTGAAACCAGTTCTCTCTGGGTGGTGATTGTAAACAATAAAAGATGCATCAGTGTTACTCTAGTATCCGAGGAGGATAAAAGCATTCAATTTTGATAGTTTTGATAATTCACATAATAGTTTCCCATAACCAGAATATTTCATTGATTTTTATCAAAGAGAATACAATATATATTTGAGGGGAATTAACTAGAAAAAAGTGTAAAACGGCCATTTTGTTGTACTGTTTCCATACTGCAGGTGTACTTCACATATTTATGCAACCTTTTGGGCCCTGGAATATCATTTTATAGAAAATCTAAAATTATTGTTAAAAGAAAACCAAATTATGAAATAGGCTTGTTTCATAATTGACCAATGATCATTTCACATAGACTCTATGCCTTCCACTTTACAACTATAAATCAAATGATGTTTTTTATTCACCTAATTTATTATAAAGTTTATTTAACAGCTTTAAAAAATTCGAAATTGAAATGGACAGTCTAGGGAACATACTGTATTAATGTACTCTACTGCATATAATTTGTGAACATTTACATGATTTGTACACTTTGAACTCCCTTTCAGGCTGAAAGGGACGGAAAAAATTCATACCGAGAGATTCTCTAAATTCCCCTCTAATATATATTCTATTCTCTATGTTTTTTATGATCCCATGTCAGGCTGTGACATCCGTCTTGTGTTTACTTAAGAGCCCAGAGACATTACACTGCAGTACTTAAAATGTGTACACCTCTGAAATAACTATCTATACATTAAAATTATTTGACACTGTGGAAATAGATTCTAGTACAATAGATGGCAACGTATAATTTGACACGTGTCAACTTAGTTTTTGTGTCCGACAAAATTATTAATTAAAGTGATAATTTTAGAATGAAGTGCTTATCTTACAGTAAAAAAAGTGCAATTTTATTTTCTGTTTTTACACATTTTTATATAATCTTGGAAAACATGCCAACTAATGTGAGAAAATGTCGTCTTCCTTGTTATATTTGACACTTGTGACGTCGTGTAAAAATGTTCCATTTCTCTGTTGCCACCTCTTGTACTTGATAATCTATTTGACACTGCGTAAAACATTTAATTTTAAGCTCAACACTTTTTAATCCAAAGCCTTGGGTTTGCTGTGAATGAAGAGGGAAACAATTTCAGAACGATGACTTTTCTCAGTTTTACCCCTTGGGACATTCTGTATGTTTTAGGAAAGGGGTTTAGTATAGCTGGCTTTCGCCCTCTTGTTTTACATTTAGTAAATTCTACCCTGTAATTTCACCTTTGTTTTTACAAAGGGAAGAGAGGGGAGGGGTTGAGAGTGGAGGGAGGATAGGTGGGAGTGATTTAGAGTGGGGGAGGGTTGTTATAATGAGAGGGTATGGATATGGTAAAGATCTTGAATAACTGACTCACCCTGTGGAATCAAATTTCAATATTCCCATCCTGTATTTTCACCCTGTTCTCTCATTGGCTGTTTTATCAGATTTTAAAGGGGAACTTAAACAGATTGAAATCTTATCTCTCAGAGTCAGAGGAAGGGGGGGGGATTTGATAGCGGGGAGAGGGGAATTTAAAATTTAAATTCCCGGAAGCGAATGGGAGATGTGTTTGAAACCCAAGGGGAAAATCTCAATACAGGATACAGAAAAATTATTTTCTATTCGAACACAATCTAAAAAATATCGAATTCGAAATTTTTTTGGAACTTTAATAAAAATTGGAACATTTTTTTCAACATTAAGTACAGAATTATATAAGATATCTGTTAATTATTTCGAACAAATCGTTTGTAATTGTTAGGGTATTTTTAACAGTGTACATTTGAATGAAGAGAAAACACATAAAATTTTACATGACGAGTTCTGGAAAAGAAAAGAAGTGTTTATAAAATTATAACAATTTATGAAAATTAGTACTAACCTTTCGTCGTAAAAACTGTTTAAGTAGTTTTTTAAATATTGAAAACATATAGTTATCTATATAATAAAACAAGTCATTCGTATGTGGACACTCATGGGTGGCCGAGGGTGTTATGGGCAAAAAAAATCGAACTTTTTTTCAAATTTTTTTTTCCACGGGCAACGCCGTGCCCTTCAGCTAGCTATTGATATGGTGGTTCTGAAAAATGGAAACCAGAAAAATGTAGAAATAGTGTCGTTTTTATCTGTATAAAAGGAGTTTCTATTCTTAACAGATTTATTTTTAAAAATGTTTCCTCAACATCTTTAGAGATATATTGATTACCACTCAGCAGCTGAACTAACCAGGGCGAAATGCGTTTGGTTTCTTCAGTTTGAATTTAACCTTCTATTTCTTACTCCAATTGTGCCAGGCACCGGTGTCCAATTGAATATCTGAGATGGGTCAACCTTTGCAGTTCTACTTTGAACTGTACAGCCAATTTACAATTACTAAAGCGGAAGAGGAGTGTGGCAGTATGAAAAATTAATATTTTGGTTAAACATCCCAATATTTTAACAATTTTTCATGGAAATAGTTGAACCTTTTGTTTTTTTTGGTTGATTTATATTTTTAATCTAAATTGGGATGTATTTATACATTTTAAGAACCTAAAAAAGCTTCATGAAATATGAAAATAATTAATTTTCTACAAAAATGCAGTGAATGTAGTTGTATGTGATAGAAACATAGTTGTTTGAATTTAACGTATTACGAATTATGCGGTATTAAATTATTATATTAAATACATGACTTTTTATAACATCGTCGAATTTTGTTTTTCTTGTTAAACTTATCTTGTCTCACTATTTTCCGTTTCTAAATCCTGGTATAAAAATACAATTTTTAAAAAAAAGTTTTTCTTGGCATCGTTAAAAATTCATGTTTTTAATATACAGATTTATTAATATAAACTGATAAAAAATATACATGGATATATACACAAAAATATATTTACAATGATAGTTTAAAGGAATTGAGTTTTTGCCACAAACTCAAGTTATCTAAACCTATATCTAATTTGTTGAGAAAAATATACAGTTTTACAAAGTTAAGTTAAGTGCAAAATTAAGGAAAAATAGGCGACATTCATTCATAATAATATAATATATGCATATGCATAATATATTTATCATTTCAGTAAATTTTATCCTTAAGCATATAAATTGTTAATTTTTGTATTTAACATTCCTTGTAAAATTGGAACTTTTTAAGTATTTTCGAGCAGAACAAAAAAATATGTAAATTTCTTAATAAAAAATAATTTAAATCCTGTTTTTGAATTTAACTTCTACATGGGTCACGAATTTGAACAAGTATTATGAAATATTAGTGTTTTAGAAATTTTTTGTTCAAAACTTTGAAATACTTTTGATAGTTCGATATTCACACAAAATGTTGGTTTTTAACAGAAAAAGTAAACTTTAAACAAATGAAACTACAACTTAAACAATAAACATCAACTTTGTATTTTTGTCAAATCAAAAATAGCAAGAGTACGAATTAAAATTAATTAGTGCTTTAGGACAACAACTGTATATGCAAGTCTTTCTTCCCATCCTCTTTTCTTTAAAATTAATGAAAATTATGTTATTAAAAATAAAATTCAATCTAAAATGGGAAATCTATTGTTAAAAATCTTATTGATTAACATTGAACGTCACAGCCTTTGTTTCTTGTTAAAAATTTTAATTTACCGGGTCATGTTTAAAATATAATCATTATCGTCACAAACTTCGTGAAAAATCTATTCTTAAAGTAGAGGTTTGATTAAAAATTACAATTCTGAAAAAATTATTTTTCGAACTTAATTTTTTAAACTTTAATTTATTTTATTAAAAATCTTTAAAATCTTTAAGCAAGGTCCACAATTTTTACAAAATTTTAGTTTAAAAAATATATTTATTTGGCTGTCAGTTTGTTTGTGTCTAATAATCGACCAATCGAACCAAAATTTTAACTCAAATAACCCCATGGGAAAGTATATAGCCGGTTTTTTAATTGCCTGTCCGACTAAATTCAATTTTAATTTTTAAGAAAATTCACAAATAAAAACAAAAGTTTGTGATTACTTTATGAAATTTTCTTAGGTATAAACTCACTATAGCTTCAGTAGAAGTAAATATTTCCATTTACTGATAGCGCCGATTGAAGGAGTCATAACTCTAATTGGATAATGAGATAGACAGAAAGATAGTTGTTACCGCTATACTATTTTTATTGGTTCAGAATAGACAACAAACACATGACTGAACCCTGATAAGGTGCTAATGGCCTCGGCATACAGAGGAGTGAACTGGAAACTAGTAGAGTTACAAAATTGCAAAGTCGTCAAAATGATTTCGTAAAAATCCTTTATCAAAGAAGGATCCGGGTGAAATTCTAGAAAATATAGTTTTCAAACGAAAATAGGCTTCTCATGCTGAGAGAAATTTCTAATAGTATTTGATTTTATCAAATTATGCAAACGATTCTAAAACAAAATTATTCTGTATCAAGCAAGATTAAGGGGTTATCCCAGAAAAAAAACACAATAAGAAAACAAAAACAAAACTAATGTACTCTCTTTAATCTTAGCTGACTTTAATTGTAAATACTGATATCCTTTCAACCTGATGTCGTAAACCTTGACCTTTGCTTTTATAAATTATAAACAAAATGTATTCTGTATCTAAACTGTTAAACCCTATCTCGATTTAAGGTGGGGGGGGGGGGGGTGTTTCCCCCCCTCCCTATGGTTTTTTAAAATAACTAAAAAACGACTGACATTAGAGCATAAGACATTCTTCACTTTTTAATTTTGTTTTTGATGCATAGGGTAGAATGGAGGACAGTCACGGGTCGGTGTTAAAAAAATTCATAAATGGTTTTTAATTTTTCCAACGTAACGTACTTTTTGAACTTTTTTAAAATCCTCCCTTGCACCTTAACCATATAAGATAGAGGTCTAATTTTTAAAATCCTCCCTGTGGCCCCCCCCCCCTTAGGTTTGAATTCATGAAGAAAAAATATAAAGTACAGTGATAACCAGAAAACGATGGAAGAGGAAGACGACACTAATGCAGTACTTCAGTTTATTTGATGTTGTTACAAAGCAATTTTTTCCATACACATATTAAATCACTAATGTAGTGATCTGGATCTGTTTTCACGGCACAATTGCTGTATATCATGCTAATTGGACTTTTAAATGGTATACCTTCTATTTCTAATTCTTAAAGTCTTCTTCCTATTGCAGAGTTTTCTGGTCATCACTGTATTAGATCAACCAAGAATATCAATTTTTAGGTGGACGAGTCCAACCTAAACCTAGAGAAAAACAACTCGAACGGATCGGAGTCGAACGGATTGGAGACGAACGGATCGGAGACGAATGTTGTTGAGACGAACAAGATTGAAGAATCATCTAAAACCTTGAATTCTTTTGTCTCCTAGTCATTGTAAACTGTTACCTACTTCCTTCCGTCAGGGGTGTAATATTCTCTTGAAAAATCATGTCGCAATTATTCCTTAAAAATTAGTGTTTCAAGTATCAAAAAAGGGTGGAAAACTTGCCAGTTAATGTCCAATTTTTCATTTTTCAAAAATAATTCATGAAAATATATACCTCTGCATTCCTTCTCTCTTGTTCTTAATTTTCTTTTCCCATTTTCTCATTTGTCTTCTATTTTGCTTCTCTCCCAGCTTTTCATTTTTTCTGTCCTAAATCCTTATTCCTTTCCAACTATCTTGTTCTCTCCGTTTTTCTTTTACTTCTTGTCTCCTTCCTTCATCCCTTTTTTCTTCTCTCTTTCTTTTCCTTCTGTTTTCTCCTTCTTCACTTTATTTCATCTCTCCTTGTTTTCTTCTTTCTCCTTTTCTTCTTTTGTCTGTTTCACCTTGTCCCCATTTCTTTATTTCTTTTTCCTTTTTCCTATCTCCTTAATTATTTGTCATATCTATCTGGTATGTAACTTATTGCATGGGTTAAGACGAGATTGTTTTTGAGATTTTTATGCATATTTTTTTATTTATGCCATTTTTTTCAGAAATAAAAACTTGTTAAATGCACGAGAAAGAAAAACCACGCCGGTATAATGAACAGAACCAGCAATCGACGGCCAGGGACCATCTCGGCCGGTATGGACTTCCTTCTAATTTTGAAAATGAAAAGGTAAACCTCTAACTGAAGGATTATATACATACGAGGCTGTGAAGGCATGCTGCACCTAAGGTTTCCAATCGGAATTCCGTTGCGCAGCAGTTCCGGTATTGTGCGGAATTGCGAGGAAATTACAGGGCCCGCATTTGTGCGCAATTAAAATCCATTTACCTTGGAAACCCTAGTTGCACCCGTATGGCTTCCTGTCCGCAAATACTTGCTCCCTAGGGCAATAGTTGATAAATTTACCTAAACTGCTATTTGTACAAACTTGCTTAGTGCTGATGTTGATCTTCTCTATAAATGTTTTGTATTTACTGAGAAGTTCAATCTTACCCAGAAATAATGCAGTTTTGCATGCGATTTGGTTGAAATTAGCTCAAAATCAAAGAAATAAATCAGTTTTATACTTACAGTTTAACTCCATTTTTTATGAATCATGAATCAGAGGATTTAACTAATAACTATATCTCATATACGTTAGCTGTGTGCAAAACTTTATTAAAATCCATTACAATGACTTCCATGAGGTGGCTGACTTAATACAATTTTACCCATTCGCATTTTTGCTGCGAAAACTTGATACAATAGAGAAAATTGTCAGAATTTTACACTTTTGTTTAAAGGGTGCACACAAACAGCATATACAGCATATACATTCATTGATATTTAGTTGTGTCCTTATAACCCTGATCATCTTGTGAGAGAAGAGAAGATGCAGGCTCATCTTATCAGATGCAGGAGAGATATACTAAATAAGGTTTAATTTTTTATTCATAATTTTCATGAATTATTAATGAATTGTTATACAGTAAGAACCAATAAACTGTGGATTAAGAAGACGACATTAGAGCAAATCTTAAGTGTATTGGATGTTAGTACAAAGCAAATAGTTTAATAATAACTTGAATCACTTTATAAAACAAATATGTCTGTTTGTAGCAAAAATCGTGGAAACATTATATTCTGTAAACCTGCAGTACGTTGTATAATGTATATTACAATGATTTAATGTTGTAAACTTAGACATAATGACATTTTTCATTGAAACTGCGTTTCAATTGAATACTTAGCATGATTAGCTAACATCATTCGACAAACTTAAATTGTGCTATAAACATGGGCGGAGATAGCTTAACTGCGTTATATCTATTCTCTCTAATCTTAAAAATACGTACATTAAACTTTAACTGTGCAACAAATACATGATATGATTGTCTTAATTATGTGATATAGATAACATCGTATGAATTTCAACTTCATCAATTAATGTTTTCTTTGGCCGAATTTAAAGAAGTTGAGCGGCGGTTTAAATTTAAGCTGCGGCTTAAATATGGTTGGTTCCACTTAAAATTGTATCAAATGTTTCAAGATTTGAGCCGGCGCTTAATTTAAACCGGGTTTTGGAAGATTTAAACCGCGGCTATAATTCTTTAAATTCCATCTCTGGTGGCATAAAATTTCAAATAAAGTTTAGTTTATAGATAAACTCCGCATTGTCTATTGCGTGAGAGTAAACCTTAAACCCTGAAGCTTGTATTCAGGTGGATTGTCCCTGTTGTTTTGGATTGATATCTAGGTTGTGGATAGCTTGACTGAACCCCTGTTTTGATAAGCAGGTCGGATCGTCCCCATCATTTGGGATTGATATATAGCTTGTTGATAGCTAGGCTTGTGTCCTTGTGTGGCATTCGGATTGTCCCCATCATTTGGGATCGACATATAGCTTGTTATATAGCTAGGCTAAGGCCTGTGTGGCATTTAAGGCGTTGGATCTGTTGGACCTGTAGTTTGGGATCGATATATAGCTTGTTGGATAGCTAGGCTTGTGTCCCTGTGTGGCATTTAGAGCACTGAACTAATAGCTTGTTGGATAGCTACGCTTGGGTCTCTGTGTGGCATTTAGAGCTAGTTGGGTTGTGTCCTGGTGGAACTAATAGCTTGTTGGATAGCTAAGCTTGAGTCCCTGTGTGGGATTTAGAGCCAGGTGGGCTGTTTCCTGGTTGACCCTGACAGTGCACGGATTGTACCTGGATAGATACGTTTCGAGAACTTGTTATGGAGTATTTGTTTTTACTACATGTTTAAACTCTACTATTGTTGTGTCTCATGTTCATTGGACTTTTTAAAGTCAGACTTGAGTCTAAAAGTCGCCTTCCTCTTCAAAAGTTTTCAGGATCTCACTCTACAAAGTTTTGTTTTTCATAACATACCCTGAAAGTTGATATGAAATTATGCTGAGTTTTGGTAGGTAGGAATGAGATTGAGAGGGGGGGGGGTACTGTTAGAAGAATTAGACATATTATGCCAAGTACATGGTTATCCACAAAGCATGAGACTGAAAAGACAAATTTCGTCTTTTTCTTCGCAGGAAAAAATCCACCATCAAGATAGTTTTTGTGTAAAAATTAATGGTATCTAGTTGTTGAAATTGTAGAGTTATATACTCAGTCATTAAAATTGGTTTTAAACTGTAATTCACGTAGAAATGGTAAAGTGGTGACCCTGATATGACGAAAAGGTGATATGCCAGATTTTCTTAGCATATGTAAATTGGTCTAGACAGAAACCTATCAATCAGAATCTTTCTAATAATTTTAATCAGATCAAGATTGCCATCGTTAAATTGCTATCATAAATAGATTGGAATCTAAAATTTATCAATTCGATTTTGCTGTTATTTAAAGAAAAATATAGTAACTGGGAAGCTAACCAAACTTGTTTGAAATTTAATTATCACTAGTTGGAAGGGCCTGGCTTTGCCCGTGGAAAAAAAAAATTGAAAGAAAAAAAAATTAAAAAAAAAATTCGATTTTTTAGCCTATAACACCCCCCGGCCACCTATGAGTGTCCACAAAAAATTTCAGCCCAATCGGTCCAGCCGTTTGGCCGGCTATAGGCAACATATATATACGAATGTCTTGTTTTACTATATAGATTATGGATTCATTGCAATCTTTATTATCAGAATTCTCCACTTTTTCTTCATTAAAGAGAATAATAATTTTTTGATTTAGGGGCCCGGTCATCCAATGTATAATGCCGTGTCAAATTATCAAGTTTGTCCCTTCGATGCCAATCATCGTCTTCCTCAAGGTACTCATTTTATTGCGTTTTATTTGCATTTGTGAATTCTGTGTCTGTACTCTGCATGTTGTATTGGAGATTCCTTTTAGAGTACAGTGGTCAGCGTTTATATCAATACAATGAAGAGGACTTTTCTATTGTGTTTTGATTTCTAACAAGCTCTTTTTAAAGTAATGCAAAGAGAATGTATTTGACAGCTTTTCGTTGTTTCCATGTGTATTGATGCTGGAAGCAATCAAAAATTGGGATCGAAAGTCGTTCTCATTGTATTAATTTGTACGAGGAGACGGCTGTGCTTTAAGATAAATAGTCAATAACAGTTTACAGCTGAATAAAATTCTTCTTTCTTTAACCTACTTGTTAAGAAATTGTTAGTATTAAACGCTTCACTGTTTAAAGGGACTGTAAAGGAAAAATGAAAGGGGGTATAGGCTGAAAGCTAATTACTTTAGCTCTCGATCGCGACCCATGAAAGTTATATCTGATGTGGCTACCTCGAGAAACTGATTTACAACTTTGTCAAATTTATATGAAAATTAATATATATACAATTTTGTATAAAAGTAGTGCTTTAAAAAGATCAAATTCAGCAAATATGCAACCAATCTGAAAACGCGATGATATCCCAGAGAAAGCTAATTGTAACTTAGTTTTACTCCAATTCTAATTTTATATTTGTTATTTCTATTTTTTAAAGATTTAATTCATATTATTATTTATATGTCCGTATTGCTTGACCAGAAATTCCACCAATGGCAGTGCAGTAAAGTGGTCACGTGATACAGGCGGAGACATGTGACCATTATACTGCTCTGCCATTGGTGATAGTTCTGGTCACATGATTTAAGTTTAAGATTTTCTAAATTTTACATATATGAACTTTCGTATAATTTTAACACCGTTTTATATCAATTTCTCGAGACAGGAACATCAGATAAAACTTTCATGGGTCGCGATCAAGAGCTAAAGTGATTAGCTTTCAGCCTATACCCCCTTTCATTTTTCCTTTACAGTCCCTTTAAGCTAGAATAGAGACATCGATATCTTTCACATTATTAATCAAATAAAAGTTTAAAGAGTACCATTGTGAATTTGACATGCTTCAGCTGAGATGGAATCCCATATGAGTGAATGCCCCGGGAGGTTGGAAGTTATGAAGACGACTTCAAGTAGAAGGGAGGTCACTCCTTCCTGGAGAGAAGCTATTGTACAGGTATAGAATAATTTAGGGAGCTTCGTGTTGCTCTAATACTTTAACTTGTTTTTAGTTTTAAGATTTTGGATTAAATAGCTATTCGTACCACTTGAACACGTGAGCGTGATTGAGCTCATTACTTTTGAATTGTTGAGACTTATTTTAAATCGAATGAAGAAATTTGAATTCTTTCTCTTATTCCTCATTCATCGCATCATTAAGAAAGATTAAGATTAAGATTAGTATTATTTCTAGTTTGAAAATACTAAATTAGATAAATTAACTTCAGGGTTTTATATTATTAAGAATTAAGGGGGGTGAATATCTGGGGAAAAATTGTAAAATTGGACATGAAATAAAACCGAAAAAAGTAGCGCTCCGTGCAAACATACCTAACTTCTGGGGGACAAATTATTTACACTTAAAGGTTGGAGGAAGGAAATATTTTTTTTAGAAAAACAAACACCCCTGTAATATATTTTAACCTTATACTTAAAAATAATTGTTCAGACCCGTAGTGAGGAGGTAGTAGCCTCTGAAAACTGGGATAATGGTGAATATCAGCCAACCAAGTTAAATCCTACGCATGGTAACCTAATCCAACCATCCAATCCTACCCATGCTAACCTAATCCAACCATCCAATCCTACACATCGTAACCTAATCCAATCATCCAATCATAGGCAATCTGTTCAATCTAATCACCTGCAGGCATTACAAAACGATAGAATCCAACCAGGTCAGGGGCTCATCTAGGGTTAATTTTTAGTATAACAAAATATGTCACTAGAAAAATATTTTTTTTTAAATCTGCCACATTGACATAATCCATAAAATCTGCCAAAAATAGTATCTTAAACCATAAAAATCTGTCTAATCAATATATTAAAGGGACTGTTGTAATTTCAAGTGACATTCTGTACCCTTGAATTTTATATCTGATTAATAGTGTGGAAGATATAGTCGTTTTCTAGATTAAAAAGTTTTCAGTTCCCACAATTTTCCCGATTACTTCTGTAGCTAGAAATCTGCGTGTCACTTTTATGGAGAAAACAATTAAAAGGTAAAATAAATTTCAAAAAAAATCATAGATTAACCCTGAATCGGACAGACCACTTTATTAATGCAGAATTACCTTAAATTACGTCTACAGTTCCTATAATACATAAAATCTGCCTCGAAATAGTATCTTGAACTATAAAACCTCCCACTTAAAGTATCTTAGTCCATAAAATTTGCTTATATAGCATCTTAGTCTGAAAAATTTGCCTCTAAATCTCAAGATGAACCCTCTGAATTAGGTTCACATTTAAATTCTTATCAACATGAAAACAACTCACATAATTTGCATCGATACAAAAGTCACTTCAATGCAGTCCCACCTCTATATCCGTTGCATGGCATTCAAAGTTCCGTTACAGCAAACCGATACCTTGCCTCATCAAGTCACCATCAGGTTCCCTCCAATCAGTTTCAAGTACCTTCCTGTGCTTATGTTGCTCCCAGCAATCAATATGGGGCATCTTATGTCCATGAAGTGACTCCATATGGCCAATATATGACACCAAATGTTGCGCCTTATGGTCAGATGATGGCACCTAATGCCTATAATGTGTCAAACCAAGGTAACTTCTTTCCTGCGCCCATGCAGTTCTATCCACAACCCGGTTTAGTTCCTGAACCGATTTATTCTGGGATATATGCGAATGAAGGATATCCAGTATGCTCAGATCCTGGCATGATGTATCCAGAAGGATATTGGAATGATCCTAGCAATGGATATCTGGAGCAAGATGAGAACAGATGCCCAGATCCGGTCCCTGGTGCAAGGATCAATGCGGGGGAAGGAAGAAGTGATGTTCTGCAGGGGGATGTTGGGAGACCCCTGCTGAAAGCTGTAGACGTACCTGAGCCTAATTTACATTCAAGATCCTTCGATATTATGGAGGACAAGTTAAAGGTGAATTCTTTTTAGATTTATCTCGTTCTTGAGGGATTATGAATTTTCCTAAATGTTAAAAAAGGAACGTAACACATTTTTTATCCCTATATCTTTGCAACCTGATAGTGATAAGTGATGATGTACACCTTTGGTATGTTAAACTTTTGTTCTTCGATATCAGGATTAAAATTTACAAATGTAAGGATTAGAAAGTCCTCATAATAAATCACATAAATCTAATATTGCCAAAGAGTTGGTTTTTGTATAGTTGAACTCAGAAAACTGTGGAATAGGAAGCTTTTAATAAATCTTTTTGTATTTGATGCCTTTATAAAGCAAATATTTCTACCAGAAACTTAATAATCATTTTAATAAGTGGAACACGTGTTTTCCGTTGAATTATTTACACTAAAAGTCGTCTTTTGATTCCACAGTGCTATGGTTCCAACTGTAGGAAAATAAATTGTAAAATATTTTCTCTCCAGGAAATTGAGATGAATATTGGTTGTCTCCTGTTAGATAACAGGTAAAATTAAATATTGTATTCAATTTTGAGAGGACTTTGTTTGATCTGAGGCAAATTAAAATTAAAAAGTAAAATTTTATACCGGCATGCAAGTTTTCTTTTACATTTCGTGGATTTTCTCAAAAATAAAACTTGCCATCTTTGGGATTTAAAAAATCTTTTTAATTGGCCTTGCATTCATAAATCGACATATCCAGTTCACAACTGTACCCTTTTAACCTGTGTCTGATGAGATGTCCTTATTCTTCTATCTGAAATTTGACTTGCGCATTTACTGAGCACAGAATATAATTCAAAACATTTTCAGCCAAAAAAAGAACGATATCTTTCTATGTGTTTTTCAGACAACGGATTAAAGAAACCCGGTGTGATTAGGAAATTCCACTCTTATCATTCAGTGTTTATGATCCATTTAATTTTGATGCGGATCCGGATCCTAGATCCGCAAATAGACCATGAACATTTACTTATTTTTAAACAGAATAAGAATTTTAAAATTATTTTACCTCGGATTTTTCGTTATTTTCATACGAAAACTTGATGAACCATTTAGAGATTAAGATATTTTTGATAATCTCGCTTTTTTTTAACAGTTTAGATTTGAGTTTTGAGTCTTTGGTTGATATGAATCCGCATCCGTGGATCCGCATATTTTTCTGGATCCGGATCCTAAGCACTGCTTTTCTTAAAGGATCTAAAATACCTCTCACCTTTTCTAGTGATGAGATTGAGGCTCCTAGTTCTGGTGACGGGCGTGGTCGAGGGCGTGGCGTAGACAGAAGTGACAGCAATGGTGGACGTACCCCTAGCCTAGGGCGGGGCAGAGGTTGGGGCAGTGGAGGTGGGAGCAAACATGTCTAACTCTAAACTCAGTTCTACAAAAAATATTTTGTAATCTGTAAAAAATTTGAATTATTTTTTTTATTAAATTCAAGAATCAATTCCTGAAAATTAGAAACATACATTCTTTAGTGTATTTTATCTGGAAATTTGTTATTTGGAAATATTTAGCGATAAAAAATCTGCTAGAAATTAACAAAAGTAAATAGTTTTCAAAAAAGTGAAATTCCGAAACCAGTATATCCCCCGGTGTATTATTTTTTTTACTTGTCTAGTCGATAGGATTTTAAAGAAATATAATTTCTTATAATGTTTTCGTTGGGGGCAAGTAGAGAAAAAAAGCTTGAAAATCTGAATATCATATTTAATTTTTTATTTTAAAGCTTCGAGAACACCCTTCCCCCCTGATTCATTTTTATAAATATTCGCCTCCTGTATAAAACTATAAAGATAACAAAAATTCCACTTAGATTACACTCGTATAGGACAATCCTAAGATAAGGCAGTTAGGTAGTTAACACCTAGCATCAATCATCATGTACATGAAGCCTCTTATCATCCTTGCTTTTCTAACATACTCTCTACTTGGAAAAAGAACACTTAAATACCGTTTAACAGATGACAATGGAAACCTGTTAATAGCTTCCAGTGTAAACGCTACTGAAACTGACTGCTACAGTTTAACATGGATTGGTAAGACATCAGTAGACAATCCAACCTGTGCAGACTACTATCCAGTACATCCTTGTAACCCACCCTTTATAGTCACCATCGGGCCTAACGCTAACAACGGGCCTAATATGACCGATGTGGTGGAAAAGTGTGAAGCGAGTGGATCTTGTAATGTTGCTGATCTCTACTGTAAGAAGAATACCGGAGAGGTTTGCATCAAGTACTCAAGGTATACCCGGAGTGGAGAGATGGATTACTTCACATCCTTCTGTGGGAAAGGGGTGGATACTAACTGGAATGGGAATCCGATACAATCAGGTTGCTACAGGCAGGCTAAAGAATTGTTTGATGTATCAGTTTGTTTCTGCGAAGGAAACCTCTGTAACAGTGTGAACAAGATCGGAGCAAGCAGTAATATTGTTCTACTTTTCTTATTGTTTTTTATAAGTATGTTAGCATAGTCAAAACATTTCATTATTTACATATTTATAAGAAATAAAGAATTTAATTTATTGCATAATGTTGAACAATGTTGAACTTATGAAAGAATCCTATTTTGTTTTTAATTGTGGCATAACAATACTGGAAAAATTTCACCTTTTCACCATGAATGATTTTGAGAAATGGGAGTTTTCGATTTAACGTTAAGCTTTTTTGCCTCTGCTCAACAATACCTTTATAACTCAATCGTTCCTTGTTCATTTTTTTTTCATGAAAAAAAATTTTCAGAAAAAAACTTACTCCTTTAAAGCATTCTTCCCAATGAGAAAATTTCCAGGTAGAACAAATAAGGCTGAAATATAAAAAAAAAATAATGATTAATAACATTTCGACGAATCATGATGTTAATTTACAAGACGATACACGTTATTTTGTTTGTTCATGTTTCTGTAAAGTATTGAATTATATGAGTTAGTTCGTCATGTTGAAATTATTTCTTATCAAATTTATTTTATTATAAATACACAAAATTTTGTGACCTTATTGTATATTTCACAGGACTAATAATAATATAGAGAAATAGATTTTTAATTTTTTTTTTCAGAAAAAATGAGCAGAAAATAAGGGACAAATAGGGCCACACTTAACGGCACTTAGACTGAAAAAAGTATATCGTTCAAAAATGGATTTTCATCATTCTTCCCGAAAAATAACATCTAAAATAGGACTGTTAAAATTGAACTAAAATAGGATTAAAGGTTTTTTTTCGTTTTACTCTGAAATCCTCCATGTTTAACCTTTTTTAGATCAAAGATGACGCAGATATTATTGATTTTCGATTTAAAAACTGTAAATTTTTAATCGATGTCTCTTTATTAAAGCGACAGCAAAGACAATATAGAAAATTGCCAGAATTTGTAATCAGAAAATCGAAATCAATAAAAAAATTGAGAATCTCTTCTTAAAAAGTCCTATTACCAAATATTTTTTATTACATCTTCTTGAAATTTCTTATTTAGAATACTTTGTTTATGTGTAATTGTGTTAATAGCTCGATAAAAATTAAAATTAAAAACGAAAGTCATCTTTATTGTTTGTATTTAGAAGAACTGATAGATTAATATGAGAATCAAGCATAAGAAGAGAATTATGGACTTCAAAGAGACCTTATTTTTTCTCCAGGAATATAGTTGGATTTTCGATTTTAAGGTTGGAATTTTTTACTTCAATATCTTTAATGTTTTTTATCAATTGTCTAAAGATCAATTTTTCAACGAATGCATCTTAACCTGTTCAAAAAAGGTGTCAAATCTTTCCCTGGTATATTTAGAAATTTAAAAATATCAGAAAGCAGGAAAGATTCTGCAATAGAGTGACGCACGAAGAACTGAAAGTAATAAAATCAAAAGGTGCATAGGATCTGTGGGTGATGTCAACCCTTCGTATTCAAATGCAAAAACATTTTTTGCTGTAACTTGATCAACTTTGGTGGAAGTAGTTTCAGGATAAAAATCTGGATTTTTGTTAAGGATAGGGAGGGGGGGGGGGGGAATTCAACACTGGACACCAAATATAACCTATGCACACCATTTTTTTTAACCCCATTCGTGTGTCACCCTATTCTGCATATAATATTTGCCAAACCAAACTGAATTTTTTTATTTTGAACAAAAATATTTAGTATTTATATATGGAGCATTTCTAGGTATCATTTTTCTATTTTTGCAATATTTCCATTCATGTAAAAGAGATTTTAACGCTGGATTAACACTGAATATCTGTTCACTCAACGGAGGGAGGAATGGCAACCACGCCAATTTGTAATCCCCAAATCTGCTTTAAAGGGACAGTAAAGGAAACATGAAAGGGGGTATAGGCTGAAAGCTAATCACTTTAGCTCTTGATCTCGACCCATGAAAGTCATATCTGATGTTCTTGTCTCGAGAAATTGATATAAAACTGTGTCAAATCTATTCGAAAATTAATATATATACAATTTTGTATAAAAGTAGTAGGTTTAAACAGATCATATTCAGCAAATAAGCAACCAATCTGAAAACGATGATATCCCAGAGAAAGCTTATTGTGATTTAGTTTTGCTTTTATATTTGTTGTTTCTATTTTCAATAGATTTCATTCATAATATTATTTATACATCCGTATTGCTTGACCATAAATTCCACCAATGGCAGTGCAGTAAAGTGGTCATGTGATACAGGCGGAGACACGTGACCAGTATACTGCTCTGCCATTGGTGATAGTTCTGATCACGTGATTTAAGTTTCAGATTTTCTAAATTTTACATATATGAATTTTCGTATAATTTTAACACAGTTTTATATCAGTTTCTCGAGACAGGAACATCAGATAAAAATTTCATGGGTCGCGATCAAGAGCTAAAGTGATTAGCTTTCAGCCTATACCCCCTTTCATTTTTCCTTCACTGTCCCTTTAAGTATCATACAGGGAAATTTTCATCTCTCTAATTATCCCAGGTTAAGATTTGACACATTCTTTAAGCTTCACAAAATAGACAAAAAAAATGGCATCCTCAAAATCACATATTATATCTCGCAGTTGACTGTCACCGTAGCGCTTAGCAAATTTGCCTGTCCTAGCCGCAGCTTTAGTATCAAAAATTGTCGCCGCTAAGCTCAGCTCCTAGCCGCAGCATGACCAGCCTAGAATTTTCGAGAAAAAGAACTCTAAAACGTCTTATCTCACTTAATTTTAGGTGACCTGTATTTTGGAAGACGACATTTTATCTCGTATTCCAGAACGTTGGTTTAACTTTCTATCCTCGTCTTCCATAGAGGAATTTAACTCTGTTATTATGAAGGTAGCTATTTTATTTTGGGGGGAGGGGGGGGGGCGGGGCATCCTCTCCTATAGATATTTACTATTTAGACACCTTTCTAAAGAAGGACAACCTCTCATGATTATACTGTTCAAATGAAGGTTAGGTTAAGGTAGATAGTCACGGGGTTATGACCTTTTTCAGAATGAGGGGGTCCACAGCATATTTAACGGTAAAATGGGGAGATTTTTAAATGACCAAATTGACTTTAATTCCGCTTTATTTTTTTGAGTTGACTTTATTTCCTTTATTTATTTGGCTTTACATCAGGTAAAAGATGAAGGAGTTGAAGAAGAAGGGGAAAAAGAAGAGAAAGAAGAAAAGAAAAAAGAGGCTGGAGGAAATTCTTCCATACCTGACTTTATTAAAGCTTTCAAACTGAAAGTATCTCAGGAATAGTTTTTGAAAATAATTTTTATAATTTTTTATAAAATTTACTTATCCGAATAAGTTACTTACAACAAGGGACGGTTAACGTATTGTTTAAGTGACCCTCCATGCAAAGATATCAACGCCAGATTTATACCGGTATCCTTGAAACCTGAATGTGATAAATAATGTGGAAGATAGCGTCGCTATTAGGACTTGAAGTGTTTATTTCTGATAATTTCTCTATTGTTCCATATAAGCAAAGAATGCAGAGAAATCACGAACGAAAATAACTATCCAAATAAACAAAAACATGCTTAATTAATTGATTCCTTTTCAGACAACGCTCTTTAGCGGTTAATGGTTATTGTCATCGTTACATGGAGATTGGAGGGTCTCGTGAACGTTTACAGTGTCTTTAATATAATAATTTCTTAAATCTTGCTTCACTATATTGATTCCAAGATCAGAGTTGTCTTTGAAAAGCATCCTCTTTCAGTCTCGGAGGTTAGTCATGGTTATACAAATCACTTAAAATTTTAATGGGGAGTTGGGAGGGGGGTGCACAATTTTATTATGTTTAAGCTTTCATTGTAATTAAAAACAGATTCTAAAGCAGTCCTTGCTATATAGTCTAATGAATTATTCTCCCCCCCAGGTGGGTTGACTTTTGATGATATGGGGGGGAAAACATGAAAAAGGGAAGTTTTTTTTACAATTTGTTGTTACTTTTTTCCTTAAAATTCAATTATTTTCCCCTTTTCAGTTATGGACTTTTACCAATTTAGCAAATAAAACCCTATTTGTACAGTGTACACCCCTGGTATATAGTTTCCTGTATTTATGCAGATGATTATGAATATTTATGTACAGTGTACACCCCTGGTATATAGTTTCCTGTATTTATGCAGATGAGTATGAATCTTTTTGTACAGTGTACACCCCTGGTATATAGTTTCCTGGATTTATGCAGATGATTATGTACAGTGTACACCTCTGGTATATAGTTTCCTGGATTTATGCAGATGATTATGTACAGTGTACACCTCTGGTATATAGTTTCATGGATTTATGCAGATGATTATGTACAGTGTACACCTCTGGTATATAGTTTCCTTGATTTATGAAGATGATTATGTACAGTGTACACCTCTGGTATATAGTTTCCTGGATTTATGCAGATGATTATGTACAGTGTACACCTCTGGTATATAGTTTCCTGGATTTATGCAGATGATTATGTAGTGTACACCTCTGGTATATAGTTTCCTGGATTTATGCAGATGATTATGTACAGTGTACACCTCTGGTATATAGTTTCCTGGATTTATGCAGATATTATGTACAGTGTACACCTCTGGTATATAGTTTCCTGGATTTATGCAGATATTTATGTCATCTTTCCGAAATATAAATAATGCGCCATGTTTGCTTTTTGTAAGGGCTAAAAGGAACAGAAAACTTTGCTTGACCCAGGATTTCGTAGATATTTCTATTTATATGGCGGGAAATTGAGTACAAAGAAACCGCGCGAGTGTACACTAGCACGGAGAGTACAGTGCACAGTGCACACTGTAACCTTAAGTCTCCCGACACTCAATTTTCAGCTATATAAATGAGGGTATCTACCTCTCCGTTGTCCATAGATAGAAAGGTTTATAGGATACCATATGCATCTCTCTATATATGGAAGGTCATTTGTAAATACACGCACAGTCCCTTTAAGTGGATTTGTATCTAGATGAAAAAGGAAGAAAGAAGAGGATTGTCGGAGAAGAAAATTCATGAAATTCAACATTTTTCATCCTTTATCAAAGAACGGTAATAATGTTCTTAAATAGATATTTTTATAGGAACTCATCACTCATGACAATTTTCTAAATCTGTTATCTTTTTAACTAAATGTTTTAACAGAATTCATAGTTTGAACTACGACACTGGTTGCAAAGTAGTTTCAGAATTAGTACTTTTAAAATATTGAAAGAGAGAAAAGATCTTTTTGTCGCAATTTTCCCAACGTTATTTTTAGAAGTTGTTTCAGTTAAAGTTCATCATCTTTCTGTACTGCTACACGGGATGATGGTGGCTTGTGTGTTTGAAACAAACAAGCCACCGTGTAGAAAAAATACCGTGTTCAATTGTTTGTTTGTTTACGGTATTTTCTTCGTACATTTAACAATGTAGATTATAAAGTGTACGCTGTGAAATGTGTATTTGCTTAACAATTTATATTTTGCGTTTCATTTATTAATCTTCAGACATTTTTTCTTTTCTCATATCATTCTTTTAAGGGTTGGTGAGGTTAATAAAGTTTTGGATATCGGCAGTGGACTTGGATATTTAGGTATTTTTTATTTGGATATTAAGGTATTTTTCATTTAGATATTTAGGCATTTATTTAGTATTTTCACTTGGATATTTAGGTATTTTTTATTTAGATATTTTGGCATTTATTTATCATTTGCACTTGGATATTTAAGTATTTTTTATTTAGATATTTAGGCATTTATTTATTATTTTCACTTGGATATTTAGGTATTTTTCATTTAGATATTCAGGCATTTATTCAGTATTTTCACTTGGATATTTAGGTATTTTTTATTTAGATATTTAAGCATTTATTTATTATTTTCACTTGGATATTTAGGTATTTTTCATTTAGATATTAAGGCATTTATTCAGTATTTTCACTTGGATATTTAGGTATTTTTATTTGGATATTTAGGTATTTTCTATTTGGATATTTAGGTATTTTCTATTTGGATATTGTATTTTCTATTTGAATATTTAGATATTTTCTATTTGGATATTGTATTTTCTATTTGAATATTTAGGTATTTTCTATTTGGATATTGTATTTTCTATTTGGATATTTAGGTTGATTCATTTCATAGAATATTATTTCTGAAAAGGATGTTTACGTAATATTAAGAATATCATAAAGAGTGTTTGATTTTCCAATTACCGAGAAACTACAGCTAAAAATAATCTAACGTCAGTGAGAAAAACAAGGATATCTTTTCAAACTTTTCTGTATGAATAAGTGTGGAATTCTGTGAAATTTTAAGATTAAATGTGAATTAAGGACAACTATCAGTTTAAGGGTTTAAAGTTACAGTTGTGAATCTGACATGACACAATTTAAATCACGTTTACAATCTACAGTCCTTTAAATATCTGCCTGTTGATCTCTTAGAAAATTTTATTTGTTCATATGATGTCAAAATGTGTTTGTTTATTATGTTTTTTTTTCAGATGAAAGGTTGTTATCTGAAGGGTTTTCTGTGGTTGGTATTGAGGGAAATCAAAAGGAAGGAAAAATGAAAAAATATTTTTACTAGAAATATTGAGAACACTACGTGCCACTCCGGATCTGTTGGATCCACAGCATTTTGGCTGTTGGATCCGGGATCCGGATCCGGATCCAAGGTGCAAAATATCAGCCCAAACGTGTAAAAAAAAATAATTTGCTCCCAGCACCAAAATCTGAACTGCTAAATTTTGAGAGGTTATGAAAATTTTCTGTATGGCTGGTATAAATATCATAAAAAGAAGAAAAATATTTTGAAAATTCTTCTTTTGTTTAAAAAACCATCAAATTTTAAAGAAATGTTCATGACACCTGGACCCGGATCCGGATTCATTTTTTTCATGGCGGATGCAGAATCCGGATCCGAATTCCCATTAAAATGAAATGGATAATAATCAGCATTGTCTATTTCTAGAAGTCGTACTTTAAACTTTTAAGTAAGCACTGATAAATAAGACATATTCATAATAAAAACACACTTTTAAGAGATTGTTAGTGTAATTTGAAGTGAACCTCTGTGCAAAGATGGCAATGCACCGATTCACACCGATACCTTTAAACGCCTTTTTGATGCAAGTATGAATTAGATATTCATGTTTCTTTTCAAAGGGAATTAATCGAAGACAGGAAAACGACGGTATCTTACGCATTTTTTATCATATGAAAGTTTCAAGGTTACCGACGTAAATTGCGCATTTATATCTTTGCATGGAGGGTTACTTGAAATTACGTTTACAGTCCCTTTCAGAGCTCACGTTTGAAAATGAAACTCACTAATGAGTAACAATTTTTAACGATTAACTATTTGGAATGTTTTGTTAAGAACGTATGTTTAGGACGCTACTATTCCAGAAGAAGGTTTCCATTGTATTTTTATGTATTAATGGCCGTCAATATTTTTTAAACTCACTCACAGACAGATGAAATTTGTTAAGAGTAATTATTAGAAAACATGATAAATAAATAGAGCAAAATGATGAACCATCATTTTAATTAAGATTCTTAATGATAATTTAATTTGATTAATATACTACTTTTATCTATCTTTCTATCTTTCTATATATATATATATATATATATTTCAGTTTTTAACTTCACATTTTTATTAAAAAAAGAATTATACTAAACATAATGTTTCACGTCTATCATGACGATCCTCAGTAGTTACAATTCTTTAAACAACATATATATATATATTTATATACTATCTAATTATCTATCTATCTTTTGATCTATCTGGCATCTCAACCTCGTGGTTTGATAGAATTATAGATAGATGATGGAAAGTAAAAAACCTAATTTAAGGGACTATTGACGATATTTCAATTAACCCACTGTCTTTATGTCTAATTTCCAATGGTGCCCATTAACCCTTAGTGTGAAAAATGACGAAGATATCCATATTTTTCTAGCTGAAAATTGTGCCAGCAGGATTCATGTGATATGTTGAGTCATGAGTGTGCACTTGACATTGGGTTTCCCGGCACTCAATCATTAACTTGAAAAATAACTTCTTGTGATGAGACATAGTCTTAAAGGGTACCGTTGTTGGTCGGACATGTCCCTCCACAGAATGATTCCAAATAATACCAAAAACAATTCATTTGACACTAAACATTTTTTTCTTTTAAATATTACATTTTTCCTCGCGTATAGTATCATGAAAGTGCGATCAAACGGTTTGAAGACCAAGCAGGAAAACGCCAAATAAACAGATGTAAATCCAGGCAAGAAATGAATCCTAACCTTTCTGAAAATCCCCGAGAGAGCTTAAACGAATTCAAACTAAACACTAGGAATATGAAGCACATTCATTTGATGGTGGATTCATCAGAAACTGTTTCAAAAGGTGAGTTGTAAGAAATAATTAGGAAAAATTTAAATAAATGGAAAGAAACAGATTCCATAAACAAAATATTTTTTTTTAAGTGGTCCTTTAAAAATTCAATTCATGTTGATAACGATATTTGAATACGAGTTTAGTAGAAATATTGTAGAAAAATAAAACAATAATAATCTCAGATTTGCCATATCATAACTCTTGCTAAGTTCGTTAATAGAATGAATTTATCATGAATTTATCATAAATTTATCATGTATTGATCATTTATTAATCATGCATTGATCATGTATTCATCATGTATTTTAATGAATTGATCATATATTGGTCAGACGTTGATCATATATTGTAAATGTATTGTAAAAGTATTGTAAATGTATTGTAAATGTATTGTAAATGTATTGTAAATGTATTGTAAATGTATTGTAAATATGTGTTGTAAAAGTATTGTTAATGTATTGATTTTATATTGATTATCTGTTAATAATGTATTATAAATGTATTGATGTATGAATCATATATTGTAAATGTATAGATACTGTATTGATCATGTATTGATCATGTGTTGTTAATATATGTATTGATCATGTGTTGTTAATATATGTATTGATCATGTATGGATCATGTATTGTAAGTGTATTCTTGATGTATTGATTATGTATCGATAATATATCAAAAATTTATAATTTATTGATCGGGTATTGATCACGTATTTATCATTTCACGATTTGAGTTTACTGAATATTAAATTTTTAATCATCCATGTATCATGTATTGATTAATGATGAGTTATGATGTATGGATCATGAATTGATTAGTAATCATGTTTTGATGTATTGATGTATTGATTATGTATTAATGTATGATCATATATTGATCTATATCTAGAGCAGTGTATTGCTAGTATCCCTGTATCCTTGGTGGGTCTACATACTTGTGGAGATCTAACTATATCTATATCTAGAGTTAGAGGAGTGTATTGCTGGTATCCCTGTATCCCTGGTGGGTCTACATGCATGTGGAGATCTAACCATATATATATCTAGAGTTAGAGGAGTGTATTGCTGAAATCCCTGTATCCCTGGTGGGTCTACATGCTTGTGGAGATCTAACTCCTGACCTCATTAAACAGTTCTTAAAGATCAAACATATTAGGTAAAGGAAGGAGTGTCTCAAAGGAATTGTAAGAGTAACTTAAAATGACCCTCCATGCAAAAATGACAATGCCCTTTTTACAACGGTCCCCTTGAAAGGTTTATATAATATAGAATTAGTTACATATCAATTTGTTTGCACCTTCGAACTGTTTTCATTTGCTGGTTCTCCCAAAAACTGTGGAATTGAAGGACGACTGTTTGACCTAAGTTATGATTTTAAATTGTCAAATAAATATTGGACAGTTTATGCAACCCCGATTCTCAAAGTAAATTGATTGAAAGGGACTGTAAGCCTAATTTCAAGTGACCCTCCATGCAAAAAGAGCAATGTCCGATTTGCAATGGTATTGGCCCTTGGAACCATTGACTGTTTATTGAGTAGGAAGATCTCTGCTTAAGTTCCTCTAAAATGCGGCCTGAACGCTGTGAACAGAGTAACCTCAACGCAGCTGATCTCTTACTTACGCAACTCCAAGTATCGACTATTTTACGTTAAAACCGGTTTTCAAAACATTTAAAAGTAAATTTTTATTTTCTGTCACTTGTAGAATTAAAGTAGCGGTTGATATCAGCTTGCATACTAAGGGTCTAGCGGTTAAAAGCGCTTGAGTAGATTAATATAGATATGTCTGACATCCTTCACCAGTCAAAAGTGAACAGGCTATGCTCTTCTTAAGATGGAAGGTCACTTGAAATTTCGCTTACAGTCCTTTTAAGCTAATGGTTAAACAATTTACATGATAATAACAGAAAATATATATTATACTTTACGATTTACAATAAGAAATGAAAATTAAATTTTTTTTACCAAATTGTAAATCTGACATGCCACTCGTGACATGTTGGTCACCTAAAATACCATCTACAGTCCCTTTAATTAGACTAAAATCATATCAAATGTTAAGAAACTTAGTCCTGGTATCCTGCTGTCAATTAATTAGACTAAAATCATATAAAATGTTAAGAAACATAGTCCTGGTATCCTGCTGTTAATTAATCAGACTAAAATCATATAAAATGTTAAGAAACATAGTTCTGGTATCCTGCTGTTAATTAATTAGACTAAAATCATATAAAATGTTAAGAAACCTAGTCCTGGTATCCTGTTGTTATCACAAAATGAAATCAAATTTCCCTCTTTCACAGGTCAAATATTTATAGTATTTAATTATCCAATTAGTAATAGTTATTTAGATTGTCAGTTCGCTTTATTGAATCCAATAAACGTCAAATGGCGTCTAATTTTTTTTTTTTTTACCTCATATACATTAGTTTCATGAAAGTCTTTCAAAATTTTACAAAAATAAGGAAAACCTGCTAAATTTGTTATTATTATCAATGCACAAATAGAAAAACTTTCAAAATAAATATTAATTATCAAAATTGGACTTAGACACGAACTCAGTAAAGATTTGTAAAACGTCTAGTGAACATATTTTTTTTATAATTTCCTTAATAAGAGGTAAAATGCGATGCTTGATAAGCTCTAAACAGTTTTCTTTTCATTTAAGTTCATTTATTTAATATCGTATTTTTTCTTTGCATTTATTAAATAGTGTATTCTGTGTCTTGCATTCACATTAGTAATTAGTGCATTTTTTCTCTATATTTTGCATTTTCGTCTGAAGACGGTGCATTTGGTCTCAATTCATCGTCTGAAATAGTAATTGAAAATTGATTACTACTCGTGCATTGTGCATTAAATTGCGTCATGATAATCTATCAAGCTTGATCTTTTTTACCTTGATTTTCATTGGGACTTTGAAAATTATTTAGTTTTTTTTTAAGTTTTATGGTCTCGGTTCAAGAGATTTATTTTGATATTGGATTTGATCGAATCCAAAATAATGAAATGAGGATTGAAATGCTCTTGTTTTTATTTTAAACCTGGGGTTCATTTTTTGTTTGACTTTGACCTTTACCTTGACATTGAATTCGACCTTGATCTTAACCTTGATTACAGAAGTTGAAAGCCGCAGCTGATGAAACTGGATTTACATTATTCTCCGGTCATCTTCTACGACTTGCAGCTCAGGAGCCTGTATCCAGGTTAAATTCACATTCAGGGGTATATATTTCAAAACATTTGATGAATGGAGTGAAAATGAAAAATGGGACATCAAAAAGCAAGTTTTTTCATTCTTTTCAATACTTTACCCAAAAAAACAATTATACATAATATATGGGAAATATACACCCATGTTTACATTTAACAGCCAAAAAAATATATTTCGAATTATCAATTTAATTTTTTCTTGGATGTCCTTAGATGGCTCCGAATGAGTCCTGGAGAACATGAGATGCATGCTCGGAATGTCGTCTTTCGTTCGATTCTCGAGATTTTTTCAAAACAGGTAAATTAAATTCGGACCCATGAGACATAGTTGAACCGCATAGACTAAGTTGAGCCACTTCTCATCAGCTTGATCCCCCACATAAAAATGTTTCACCGTATTATACGCCTGATTACTGATTAATGATTATTCTAATTGATTTTTCAGAACTTAGATTTTTAGAATTATAAACCTGTTTTAGCGAGGTCTTGAACTGAAGAAGAAAAGGAGGAAAGCGACCAAAGACGATGACGTGAACAGCTTCTACAGTTACCTGAGCAGCCTCGAGGCTGCGTATGAACTGTCCCTGGAGGTCGAGGACAAGGAGATCCTCATGGAGATTTACAACTCTAAACTACATCTGTTTAATCTTGTGGAGAACTTGACAGGGCTTCAGTTCATTCTTCAGAATATTCTGGAAAACCTTGTTATTGCTGATAGAGTTCAATTCTTACAGGAATGCTAGGACGGAAAATGATTCCATTTTTTTAAACATTTTTCGGGATTTTTTATAAAAGAATGTATATTGTTCATATTGAATGGGGCGAGAGGAAAACTTCCCTCACGCTTTTTTCGAGACCCTGGCCTTTATATCTTTGCAACCATTAAGTTTTATTTGATTTGATTTTCAACCATTATTTTAAACTATAATAGGTGTTAGATAAAATGTTAAAAGTTCGCATTTTATTATTAAAAGGTTCACCCGGCCCATCTTCAGGTTGCGAAGATAAAGGTTTTTCTTTCATTTCCAGAATATTCTAGAAAACTTCAAAATGTCTGATACTTCTTTTTTACAGAAGTTACAGGATGAAAGCGTTCTTCTTTTAAAAATCTACTCTCTGACTCTAAAAATATTCTGGGATTTGATCAACAAGTTTTTACTTAAGTTGGGAAACAGGAACAAATCCTTATATCTTTGCAAACTGATGACAATTGAAGTTTCAGATTTCTTAAATTCTTGAAAATTAAAATTCTTTTAGACAAGTTTGAATCAAATATCAGATCAGTCGACCAGAGAGAACTTTGTTGTTAAAAACATTCTCATAAAATTTTTCGGATTTTTTTTTTTAATAGAATTTGAGTCGAAAAGGTATTTTTTGTTAGAAAAATTGAAAAGTTTTTTTCGAGAACATAATCAAAAATAGTGAAAATGCTCTCAAGTTTAAGTCCAAGAGATGTTCTAAAGATTAAACATTCAACGTTTTGATTAAATTTTTCTTCATGATTTTCAATAGTTTTCCGTCTTTTTAGGAAGAGAGCAGTTTAACTCAGGAATTCGAAGTTCGAACCACTGTTTACAGTTTGTTTAATGATCTCATTAGTCCGAGAAATAGAGTTATCTTTGCAGAGAAATTTATTAGATAAACTTTTATACGTTTGCGACAGATTGGAACTTTGTCAATCCATTTAAAAAACAGTAAGTTCATATCTTAATTGTGGCCATATTTATTAAACAAAATCCAGATGGATATTGCAGAAATATGAGTCGGCTTTTATTCAACTAAAATTGCAGATTAAGTACTTCTTGTGGTTTAAAACTCAAATACAAAATTGTGATTAAGTACTTCTTGTGGTTAAAACTCTTATACAAAATTGCTGATTAAGTACTTCTGGTTTAAAACTCAAATAAAAAATTGCGGATTAAGTGCTTCTTGTGGTTTAAAAATCTTTTTTAAAAATGAGGATTAAGTACTTCTTGATGTTTAAAACTCAAATACAAATATCAATTCAACAAGTTTTGTCACTTTGTTTTAAATCTATCATTTTAGAATTATTGAACACAAAAACAGATTTCTTTCTCAGATTAACCCTGTAATATCTGTTAAAACACTTTCAAACAGAATTCTTTCTGTAAAACCGTGTCCTAAAATTAACAGTCCGTTTAACAAAATAAACAGGCTTTAAATACAAAAATGAAAGATTGTATTTAATTCCATTTAGAAGAAAAATTGTCATAAATTTAGTTGAAACAAAATTATCAAAATGATCTTTGTCTAACTCGTTATTTTTTTCAGAAAAAATGGATTGAAAAAACCTTGAAACCGGTTTAAATTTAAAGGGACTGGAGACGTAATTTTAGGTGACCCTAAATTTTAAGAGCAGCATGTCCGATTCACAACAATGCTTCGTCAAACATTTGTCTGAGCCATGATTTATGAGAAATCCTTTAAATTGACATCATAAAATCCGCCAATCACTTAGAGAAAGAACCCACAAATGAAAATATTTACTTTTTATAGGTTAACTAGAATATTTTGATGGTTTTTGCCCAGAAATTGGTGTAAAGTTCATCGTTGTGAATCTTCAAATTATGTCTACAGTCCCTTTAAAGATGATGGAAGGCGGAGAGGTAAGGTTGACCCATCTTCCTGCTGAAATCTTGGTGAATATTCTTCTCTACCTGGATCTTCAATCCATCAATCAACTGGAGAAGGTCTGCTTCCAGCTCCAGGAGCTCATAGCAACATCTCTCCAGATCTGGAAGCAGGGGTGTTTATTTTCTTTGCAAATTATAACCATCTCATTCCCCCCAGGATATGAGGAATGCTTTTTGAGTGCGCTAATTTTGGTGGAAAATCAACAATTTGCAGGGCAAAAAGTTACCAACAATGAAAGAAAACACTTTCTAGTTCAGAACTACGTACCCCCCCCCCCCCAGGTAATCTTTGAAAATAAACCTCCCTGTCTTGAAATAGAAGATTATTCTACTTTGTTCCTCAGATCTGATTTACAACAATGTTCTTAAATTCTCCAGGAAGGAATATTATTTAAATCTTTGTCAGTGTTTAATGTTTATTTACAAAAAAGTAGTTTTAGAGAAGTCCTTTTACGTCGCAGTAACTGTTATAAATATACTACAGTCTAAATACATTTTAATTTACAAAGGTATGAATTTTTCAAAACAAAGGGCTAAGATGTCCTATAAACTTTGATTTGGGGGGAATTATCCCCTATCAACGGATTATTTAATTCCTTTTTTGGTGCCGTAAACAATTTAAACCAGGAATGTGACTCAATTTGGACTGGGCGGCATAAGACAACTAGATTTATATTTTTTAATTTTAGAATGACAAAACGAAACACTTTTTGATTCTTTTTTTTAACTTGTTATTTTTCCGCAAAATGAATAAAACTTCATGGTTAATGTAAAAATCCTCCGAATAATGTTTGAATAAATGCCTCTAACAGATATGAGAAGATTAAGCACAGCTCAAGCAGCCTCCGAACCTTCTACTCCCAGATCCTGAGCCTCCGAGCTAACCTCCTCAATGGAATATTTAACAAACAGACAATTAATTGTTTGGAAGCTAAATTCAAGGTTTGATTTTTTTTTTTTTTTGTTTAAGGCCAAATATTTCATTTTACGTTTTTACAACTCTGCAGTTTTTAGCAGAGTTAAAAAGAAAAAGTAAAAATAATGTTAAATTAGGATTTGTGCCCTACAGTTTTTACCTATCTAAAAATTGTTTTTTTTTTCTGCAAAAGTTAATATGGAGGAGCAGCTGAATGTATAGCATATAAGTCTGACGAATTTTACGTGTTTCAGAATAGACGCGTAGTGGTGAATTTACATTATTCGTATTTCAGGATAGGCGCGTAGTGCTGAATTTACATTATACGTGTTTCAGGATAGGCGCGTAGTGCTTAATTTACGTGTTTCAGAATAGGCGCGTACTGCTGAATATACCTGTTTCAGGATAGGCGCGTACTGCTGAATATACCTGTTTCAGGATAGGCGCGTATAGATAAGATAAGATAAGATAAGATAAGATAAGATAAGATAAGATAAGATAAGATAAGATAAGATAAGATAAGATAAGATAAGATAAGATAAGATATAATTTATTGCTAAAGATACACATACAAGTTATAATGTTACAGGCAAAAAATCTGCAAGTATTTTTATATTATTTACTATATTTATGTAATTCTAGCAATTAGGTGGAGATTAGCTATTTGCTGTTTTGGGTATTATCCCCACCTAATTAATATTAAACGTTTACAATATGATGAATATTACTAACAGGAATTGTTCAGGAATTATCTTTTTAACGGATTTATATTGGACTCTCCTTCTATCCCCCACCCAACTATATCATCCTAGTTTAACCAAACCTGACCTTTTTAACGATGTATTACAATTTAAGGTCGGAAAATCTTAGGTTAGTTTCCTCTAACATCTTGCAGAAGTTTGAGTTCAATGAGACCATAAAAAAGAGTGTTTTAACTCAAGTTATGGTTTTTAAATAGTCAAATAAAGGCGGAACATGATTAAACAGCAATTTACAGTGTAAACATTAACAATCCCATTTCATTTAGTAAGTTGGTTTTCATGATATTGGTAAAGCTATTTGCTTTAAAACAACAAAGTTTTTTTTTAGGGGAAAATTAGCAAAGATTGAAGAAATTAGCAAAATTTGAAGAATTTAGTAAAATTTAAAGATAATGGCAAAATATGTAAGAGCTTGATTCGGATCCATTTTTACAAGGACGGATCCCCGTCAAAATTATATGGATCCTAAGCACTGCATGACACTACCTCTACATGTAGTGATGTGCCTTAAGTTGGTTCAGTTTTTTACTAGTATTTGAAGAGAGAATGTTATATGATTTCCTTGTCTTTCTCAAAGTCTAATTTTTACCTTTATAGAAGATAATTTCAAAAACGATCCAAAAACGATCCAAAAACTATTGTAAACGATGAAAAAACGAATATGTTGTAACAATAGTTTTTGGATCGTTTTTCCATTTATTTGTATGATAAAAATATTGAAAATATAACATAATACAGGAAAACTTCAAAATGTCTGATACTTCTTTTTTACAGAAGTTACAGGATGAAAGCGTTCTTCTTTTNTACAGTTTAACATAATTCAGTTTAACATAATACAGTTTAACATAATACAGTTTAACATAATACAGTTTAACATAATACATTTTTAATATCTTGGAAGTTATATTTTTTCTTTACCCCAATACAACAGGATTAAGAATACAATCTTTATGTCCTTAGGTCTACTCCTCAAGTTGTGAACCCTCCTACTCCCTGACTCATCTATTCCCTAAAACTATTCTTGATCAGGACAAAAACCAGACCACGTGCTTCTCACTACACAAGGTAAGTAACTTGTTCAAAGCTCAATAGGAATGTTCTTGTTATTTCAAGCGACCATTAACAATAAATAAATATTAAAATAAAATAGCCATTAAATATGCGTGAACAGTTTTAAAGAGCTTCTTTTAAGTATTCGATTAAAAACTAAATATCTGCAGCATTCCATTATCAGTAGGTTAAAAAAAGATCATTTTATTTATTCTTTCAATGTCTCCGAAGTTCTGGAATTAATTGTATGTATTTACATTCTTGGCTTGTATGAAGGATTAAATATTGATTTGGACATTATACATCAGTTTACAGTTACAGCAAAGTAAAACATCATTTTTAAGGTTTGTAATTTAAAAAAGCTTCAATTAAAATGGTTCGATTATTAATTAGGTGATTCTAATTATTAAAAACAATTACGAAATCAGAAATAAACAAAAATTATGCTTTAAGACTAATGGTCATTTGGACTAGCGTGCAATGTTACTAAAGTCAGCTGATCGCCAACAAATATTTGTTCAAAAGAATGACAAACACAACAAAGACAAAAAAGACGTAAAAGACGACAATGACGACAATGACGACAATGACGACAATGACGACAATGACAACAATGACAACAATGGCGACAAAGGCGACAATGACGACAAAGGCGACAATGATGACAATGATGACAATGATGACAATGATGACAATGATGACAATGATGACAATGATGACAATGACGACAATGACAACAACAACAATGACAACAATGACAACAATGACGACAAAGGCGACAATGACGACAATGATGACAATGATGACAATGATGACAATGATGACAATGATGACAATGACGACAATGACAACAATGACAACAATGACGACAAAGGCGACAATGACGACAAAGGCGACAATGATGACAATGATGACAATGATGACAATGATGACAATGACGACAATGACAACAATGACAACAATGACAACAATGACGACAAAGGCGACAATGACGACAAAGGCGGCAATAATGACAATAATGACAATAATGACAATAATGACAATGATGACAATGACGACAATGATGACAATGATGACAATGATACACGATTTTAATTGAAGGATCTGTTGATCTGTGGTACTGAGAATGGTTATATCAAGCTGCTGGATATAAACTCTGAGAAGATCCTAGTCAAGGCTAGAGTTAACTCCTACTACATATCAGATATTAAATACCACCAAGGACGGTTAATTAGTCTGGACTGCTTTGGAAATATCTTGCACTGGAAGCTTTTAGAGGTATTCTGTCCTTAACATGTTAAATTGTAGGGAGTGGGCACTGTAGAAATTATTTTAAGTAACCATTCATTTATCAAGGGGCATGTCCGATTTACGACAATAAACCTTGGTCTGGTCAAGAAAAAAATGAGATATCCTTATTTTTCTAGAAATTGCTTAAAATTGATGATATTACATTGTGCATTCTAATATAGACTAGTGGATTTATAAAGAAGAAAACTAGAAATACAAGCGCTTTCCTCGAGGTACAGATTTCAAGATTACTGTAGGAATTAGACATGCCATTTCTTTAAATAAAGAGTCAGTTAAACTTCCTTCTACAGTTTGAAATCCTTATATCTCTGCAACCAGATGCTCTAAAAATTTAATATTTCAAACTACTTCTTCTACCATTTTTGGTTGTAAAGATAGAAGAATGAGAAATTTAAGATTTTTATTTATCTTCTTCATAAATTCTAATTTTCTATTTCTTTGCAACCTGGTGTCGTAAACCGTTGATATTTTAAACAATGAATCTATGAAACAGTAACAGTTTGAAATATCAAATAATTATAATCAGGCTACGCTACCCAGATATAGTGTTCAGAAAATTATTGTTTGTAACGAGTGTTCAGATTCCATAAGAAAAACAATTTGTTAGGCGTCTTTTTTTAACAGGGACAGTGAAGTGATGAAGCCGCAAGCCGGGATAAAAAAGTAAAATAATGTCACAAGGGCTATAAAACATTTGTTCCAGGTCCCCCCTTTCCTCCAGGCTCTGGGAAATGAGAGCCCTGAGGTTCCTTTTCTTCTCCAGCAGAGGAATATCGAGCGTCTTCTAGGGAGGGAATCATTTTATATTCCATTTTTAAACATTCAATTTATCATATTTCAAAATTGTATATTTTATGAGTTTGCGAGTGTTAACTCTTACATAAGATTTGAACCAATCTATTTTTAGAACAATTAGTTAAATCTTTTGATTAATAGTTGTTTTGGTTAATATACTTGGTCAAACAATAATTTCAACTTAAAGACGATACAATTTCCCAACTGACCCTTTATGCAAAGATGACAATGCCCATTTAACAACGGTTCCCTTAAAAGCTTTGTCTGATCTAGTATGAATTAAATATCAATATTTGCAATTTTGAAAACTGATTGTTTTTAATTATGGGTTATCTATTTATTTATTTATTTATTTATTTATCTATATATTATTGAGAATTGGGCATTGCCATCTTTGCATGGAGGGTCACTTGAATTTACGCTTACAGTCCCTTTGAACAACAGACCACAAAACGATCCGCATCCTTCTAGACTTTGGGTCTGATGATCTCATTCTCACAACCTTCAAGTCTCATATTACAGTGTACAAGGACAACGCTTTCCTTGTTAGCTTCCCAGTATACTCAGATGTATTCTGTATTGATAAACAGGGAGGGGTGTGTTTATTTTTTTCCGCCTTTTCACCAATATTACCAACCTATGATTCCTCCAACAGAGGGAGGTTACTTAATGTCTCTTGGGACAATTATTTAACATAACCACCCGCTCTAAGAAGTGTTCGGGAAAAAAAATAGCGAATTTTCATCTCAAAAATCGATAAAATTGTGTACAACTACTTTTTCGGGAAATTAAAATTTTTACTTTACCAAGGGCTCCCAAGAACAATTTTGCCTATAAAGCATCCAGAGCGCATTCCCTAACTTCCCTGTATATTAACTGTGCATTTATTTGTTAAACAGGGATCGGTGTGTTATCTTTTTTGATATTCCGCCTCAAACCCCAATAAAGGATTATTCTGAAGTGCTCAGTGTTATCTGCAGCTGTGCAGTTGCCATAATTACACTGGCTCAGTAACATTTTGCCTAGTACAAGTTCGCCTAGTACACTTTCGCCTAGTACATGTTCGCCTACTACCTTTTTGCCTAGATAACATTTTGCCTAGATAACATTTTGCCTAAACACAGTTGGCCTAGACAACATTTCGCCTAGATAACATTTTGCCTAGATAACATTAGAAGGTAATTTTCACCTAGATAAATTCACTAAAATTTATAAAGTTCCTCTTTTTTCTCAAGAAATTCAATTAAAAGCAGAAAAAATATATTATAATAATGTTTACAAATTTTCAATGCCAGTAGAAAACTGAATGATTTAAACTACAAAAAAAAATTGTGAAATTTTTATAGTAAAAATTGCGTACTCTTTTTGTTCCAAAAGCTGGTTAATTTGAAGAATGTTAATCTAGGCGAAAATTACTCTCTAATGTTATCTAGGCAAAATGTTATCTAGGCGAAATGTTGTCTAGGCAAAAGGTTATCTAGGCAAAATGTTATCTAGGCGAACTTGAACTAGGCGAAAGTGTACTAGGCGAACTTGTACTAGGCGAACTTGTGCTAGGCAAAATGTTACTGAGCCATTACACTTTACTTTCCATTTTATATTTTTCTTCAGTTACACTAGCCATAAATTATTACTTGCCGTAATACTCAAAAATTTGACCTTGTTACTTTTAAATACAAATTTTGTTTTTGGAACCAAACTTACAACTCAGAAATTTAGAATCATGTGATCTAGCATTTCTGGGCTTCCATGCAGCTTAAACAATCAAAATTTAAGGCAGATCGGTCAAGGGGTAATGAGTTACGATTGGACAAACAAACAGAGATTATTACTTAACGTTTATAGAATTTGTAAGGTTGACTTTTTAAGGAGGTCCAGGCTTCCATAGAGCGTTGATTTGTGCGGCTAGGACAGGCTAGGGAAACCAATGCTGCGGATAGAGTTTGTTAGCTGGCCAATGGCACTCAATTAAGTTAGATAAATTTATACTAATAAAACCAGTAAGAAAAGTGTAATTATGGCAAGCATTTTAAAGAAAGTGATACTGAGCCAAGTTTTAGTTAATTATGAATTTTTAAGAAAATATTTTTTAAAGAATAAAACACCCGGAACCAGGACAAGTTGGTTGGGTTTGGTTGCAAGGGTGGAGTGGATAGGGAGTTTGTTAACCCTGTTGCTGGAATAGTTTTAATAGATCCAACATCACCTCCTTTCATACCTAGGTATTAGAAAGAGAACAGACTTTGCATTTGCAACCTCTTGACTTTCACCTTTCATATTAAGGGATTAGAAAGGGAACAGACTTTGCAACCTCTTTACTTTCACCTTTCATATTAAGGGATTAGAAATAGAACAGACTTTTCAACCTCTAACTTTCACCTTTCATATTAAGGGATTAGAAAGGGAACAGACTTTGCAACCTCTTTACTTTCACCTTTCATACCAAGGGATTAGAAATAGAACAGACTTTGCAACCTCTTTACTTTCACCTTTCATATTAACAGATTAGAAATAGAACAAACTTTGCAACCTCTTTACTTTCACCTTTCATACCAAGGGATTAGAAAGGGAACAAACTTTGCAACCTCTAACTTTCACCTTTCATACCAAGGGATTAGAAAGAGAACAGACTTTGCAACCTCTTGACTTTCACCTTTCATATTAAGGGATTAGAAATAGAACAAACTTTGCAACCTCTAACTTTCACCTTTCATACCAAGGGATTAGAAAGGGAACAAACTTTGCAACCTCTAACTTTCACCTTTCATACCAAGGGATTAGAAAGGGAACAAACTTTGCAACCTCTTTACTTTCACCTTTCATATTAAGGGATTAGAAATAGAACAAACTTTGCAACCTCTTTACTTTCACCTTTCATACCAAGGGATTAGAAATAGAACAGACTTTGCAACCTCTTTACTTTCACCTTTCATATTAACAGATTAGAAATAGAACAAACTTTGCAACCTCTTTACTTTCACCTTTCATACCAAGGGATTAGAAAGGGAACAAACTTTGCAACCTCTAACTTTCACCTTTCATACCAAGGGATTAGAAAGAGAACAGACTTTGCAACCTCTTGACTTTCACCTTTCATATTAAGGGATTAGAAAGGGTTTGCAACCTCTAACTTTCACCTTTCATACCAAGGGATTAGAAAGGGAACAAACTTTGCAACCTCTTTACTTTCACCTTTCATATTAAGGGATTATAGAAAGGGAACAGACTTTGCAACCCACGTCTTGCAGTTTAGAGGGGACAACAGACAGAAAACATACAATTTTTCCACCTTAAAAAAAGTTCTTCGAAGTAACATTCTTTTTCCCCCTATTTACCTTGCAGTTTACAAGGAACAGCAGATGGAAAACACGCACAGGCTGTATGACATAAGATTTAGAAGTTCTCCAAAATAACCTTCTTTATCCAGTTACCCCTATTTACCAGATGACGTAGTTTTTACCAGTATGTACCCAAGTTAGTAAGAAAATTATGTTTTAAAAAATAGCTGTAATTAACTGTGATCATCTCTTGAGAGAGATACTGTTCATAGATAGGAATGCCTGATTTACAACTGTATGCTTATAAACTTTGTTTCAACAAATATTATGAAGTTATTCCTGTTTTCTATCAAAATTTGTACGGAAGGGAATGGGCATGTAGCTCTGAGAAGGATGGTTCAAAAATGTTATTGACAGTGTCTTTGAATTGAAAAATATGTACTACTTCTCTCTTTCAATCCCTTTCTTTAAGGATTTATTTTCGGACTCCAGATAATGATCCAGTTATTTCCATACAACTCACCTCAAGGTAAAAACAGTAACAAGTTAGGGGTGTATTTTTTTCTAGAATTATCCCAATAATATTTCGAAGATTGTAATTGTCAAGTTTCCCCCCCCCCCCTCTTTTGATACTTTTGTTGGTCAACAATACACTTGAAACCGGCTCATAATTAAGAAATGTGCATAATTTTTGTTGGAAAAAAATATACTTTTTATTGGAAAAAAATATACTTTTTATGATTCTAATTTTCTAAAAAATGAATGCATTAGTTCTTTTTTCATGGAATGAGCTACAGATAAATATGTAGATATAGAAGTATAGAAAAAGGTGGATGAGAAAACCCCTTATTTTATCCCTGATATGAAAATTAAAAATTAAAATATTAACTCTACTACAGTACCAGGTACCGAACTTACAAAAATGGTTTTGACATTTAAATGTTGCATTTCATACCACAGTCACATTTAAAATAAAATAAATGCGGGTTTCTTTGTTTCATTGGTAGCCAAATTGAATTATTTGGGGTGAAATTTATTTTATTTCGAAAACTAAGTTCACGTGAGGTCCTGTTCTAAAAAAAAGATTGTTTTAAAGTCGTTTTGACTGTTTTTAGACACCTTTCCTTAAGGTTTTTGATCCTGGGTGATATCAATGGTGAGATTCATCTGATAAATGTTGAAAACCTGGATATACCATCTGGAGAATCCTTTAGGGATCTTAAACCATCAGACATCACCACGCTACGCAGTCATGGATACAGGAAAAGATAAAAAGGTTTACCCCTGGATCTGGAAATTAAAACCGTCAAGAAAAATCAAATCTTCCCCGACTCAGCATAAAAGATGATCAAAGTGAATGCTTGGACATTTTATTATAATTTTTTATCAAATATGATATAAACATTACAAATTGATAGATAACTCTCACTTTAAAATCCTCATTATCTTTATCTGCAGGGATTTTGTTTGGGCGCTCAACACTGACGGTTTCAGGTTGTTCAGCGGGGATGAGACTGGACAGATCATTGTACATGACTTTCTCCACGTGGATGCGCAGAATGCCGCCTTACAAGATGCGCAGACTCCAGCATTAAAAATGGAAAATGTTAAAGACCAGGCAAGCAGTTAAATCCTAGCTCTTAATAACTGATGGCCAAATTATAAATTTTTTTGTCATAACAATTTTTTTTATCATTCCCAGTTCCCATTAGTTCCCGTTTATAAGGTCACTGCAGTTAAATTTTTTTTTTAAATATAATTTTCATGACGTTTTGAACTCTATTATATCACCTAGCATAATTTGCTTTGCTTGTATTTTATGATTTTTTATTTTATTTTGATGGTTGTTATATTGCTAGAACTAAAGAGGGTCACCCAGGACCAGAATATACTTCCAAATGCCAGTTAATTTTTTGTATTTCATTAACTTAACATCAAATTTCATTTTTAGGACGAACAAGACTCAGTTGATAAAGATGTTTAACGTGTTCCTCCACCTTCAGATAAATCCACAAAAGATTAAGGAGAAAATCCGCGGAAATCTCAACAACCAAAGAAAAACTAACTGTTAAAAAGGACCAATCAAAGTATTAGTCATACAATGCACTGTTGACATTTTTGTAACTGTGCAAATTCGTTTTGAATTTTCTATTTTCATTGTAAATCATCAGTTTATTTATTTTCAGATAAATGAATTGCAACAAGCTGTCAAACACAATTTTTAACTGATCAATTACAGCAGGGATGTTAAAATTTTAAAAGAAATATTTTTTTGTAAAAAATACTGATTTGTCTTGAAAAGTCTGTTCGACGGAATATATTCTTACCGATATCCTACGAACTTTTGTATTATCAGGAATGAATGAGATATTCTTAATGTTCTGGATAAATTTTTATTATTTCCAATTGTGGTTTCTTTATCACAGCCGAATCCTAGACGTTTGGAAGGAAAATGTCAGAATTCGACACTCAAGGTTTCAAGATTACCCTTGTGAATAGGACATGCCACTCTGTAAATGGAGGATTACTCGAAATTACGTTTACAGTCCCTTTAAAGAAATGGTATAAAATGAAGAATTTAAATGATTGAAAAGAATTTAAAGAAAAGGGAACAAAATTTTAATGCGAAAAGAAATCAGGAAAATTTTAATACAATTTAGAAAACAGAAACAGAGTCACCTATTCAAACGTTAGAAAAGGATGGAAAGACGATTGGAAATTTACGCTTCAAGGTAAAATGTTTACAATATATGAATATTCATTTTTAATGTTTTCATTTGTCAATTTTTTATTTTTCTGTTTTTATTTACTCACTTTTTTGTCCATTAATAGGGCCTAGGGGGATATAAGTATGCTTATAGTGGCTCAGTAACATTTTGCCTAGTACAAGTTCGCCTAGTACATGTTCGCCTACTAACTTTTTGCCTAGATAACATTTTGCCTAAACACAGTTTGCCTAGACAACATTTCGCCTAGATAACATTTTGCCTAGATAACATTAGAAGGTAATTTTCGCCTAGATAAATTCACTAAAATTTATAAAGTTCCTCTTTTTTCTCAAGAAATTCAATTAAAAGCAGAAAAAATGTATTATAATAATGTTTACAAATTTTTATTTTCTGTTTGAACAGCGCCAATTATAAACTTTCTGACTACCAGGTCCATTGGAGACATATGAGAAATGTTGATTATCAATTATGGCTGGTCTGTCTCGTTTGGTTTTCCCTACCTGAATTAAGGACGTCATGTCGACATCAATGTCAGTAGAAAACTGAATGATTTAAACTACAAAAAAAAATTGTGAAATTTTTATAGTAAAAATTGCGTATTTTTTTGTTCCAAAAGCTGGTTAATTTGAAGAATGTTAATCTAGGCGAAAATTACTCTCTAATGTTATCTAGGAAAAATGTTATCTAGGCAAAATGTTATCTAGGCGAAATGTTGTCTAGGCAAAATGTTATCTAGGCAAAATATTATCTAGGCGAACTTGAACTAGGCGAAAGTGTACTAGGCGAAAGTGTACTAGGTGAAAGTGTACTAGGTGAAAGTGTACTAGGCGAAAGTGTACTAGGCGAAAGTGTACTAGGCGAAAGTGTACTAGGCGAAAGTGTACTAGGCGAATGAGAGCTAGGCGAACTTGAACTAGGCGAAAGTGTACTAGGCGAAAGTGTACTAGGCGAAAGTGTACTAGGCGAAAGTGAGCTAGGCGAACTTGAACTAGGCGAAAGTGTACTAGGCGAAAGTGTACTAGGCGAACTTGTACTAGGCAAAATGTTACTGAGCCCTTATAGTGGAACCCTTCGATTTATGTTACATTTTATTTACACTTAAAATTTTTCTTTTTTAAGTTTGATGTCATTGTGCTGAATGTTGAAATCTCCCGGACATTAATAAACGAACAAATGTTGTTCACTAGCGAGATTTTTTCATCAAATATATCTTATTGATAGATAATGTAAAAGATATTATCGTTTTTTTAGTTTAAAATGTATCTTAGTACTGATAAGTTGTGCGGATATTTCACACATTCTTGCTCTGGCAAAGCTTTAAAGGATACTGCTGTAAATCGACCATACTTACCACTCTATAATTGAAGAGTTACTGGAAATTACGCCGTTAGTCCTTTTAACCATTAGAACCATATAAATAGCTTCATGTGTAATTTATTATGTTACCCTTTAACCATTAGAACCATATAAATAGCTTCATGTGTAATATGTTACCCTTTAACCATTAGAACCATATAAATAGCTTCATGTGTAATTCATTATGTTACCCTTTAACCATTAGAACCATATATCTGAAAATTTATCATTTTTGAATGTCAAAAGTATTGTTGCTAGGATTCAGGTGTAAAGGGGACAATTATGAGTTTGGGATTATATTACGTTTACAGTTCCTTTAATAAATGAAATCTTCTTATTTTAGCACTTTATCTCCTGCACAACTTGAAGTTTATGCTCTTTATGAACATCTTGGCATTCATATGGACAACAAATCATTCCAGGTTAATCCTTATCTTCATCCTCATTCACATCCTCATTATTCACATGCTCATCCTTATTTAATATTTACATTTATATTCTTGTCTTCCTTCATATCCTTATCTTGTCCTCATTTACATCCTCGTTATTCACATGCTCATCCTTATTTAATATTTACATTTACATTCTTGTCTTCCTTCATATCCTTATCTTGTCCTCATTTACATCCTCGTTATTCACATGCTCATCCTTATTTAATATTTGCATTTATATTCTTGTCCTCATTAATATCCTTATCTTGTCCTCATTTACATTCTTGTCCTCATTCATATCCTTATCTTGTCCTCATTTACATTTTCATTCCTATTCTATCCATTCACAAAATTACTTTAAATATTATACAACTGTATAATTTATATGCTGTTTATTAATTAATATTATTAATATAATTATCTCTGGCAATTTTGAATGCTCAAGAAAAGCAGACCACATTCGGGAAATGGCAGGATTCGGGCTATTTGTGATTATCCTTTCATCAATTAATATGATTGTAAAATCCTCTGATTAATTATAAACTATGCTGGGTCTTACTGATAAGGAATGTATATATAAAGGGTTGAGCACTTTTTTTATAAATCAATCATAACGAGTAGATATGCTAAGTATAGTTTTTGATGAGTCCATTTTTCACGGGGAAAAACAATTTTTTTAATAAAACGAAATAAAATACGAGCGTTTTGTAGATTGTTTTAAAACAATGCTTATCCCTAGATCAGTGCTTGAAATCCGGATCCCGTTGGATCCGCAACATCTTAGCTTCCTGGAATGGGATCTGCAAAAATATGCGGAACCGCGGATCCGGATCCAAGAGCAAAAATTCAACCAACCCCAATAATGCTGCTCTTAAAACACATCAAAATTGTTTAGTAATAATAGATTAACAAAAATTCCATTCTTAATGGTTTACTAAGTTTCAGCAAACAAATAAGCAAAAAAAAATTTGTTAGAAAAAATCAGTAAATCTTGAAGAAATGTTCAGGACTCGGATCCATTTTTTTCTAGCGCGGATCCGGACCTGCATCAAAATGAAATAGATCCTAAGCACTGCCTTAGATTAATATTTCTATGTAGGCTATTTGGAAGCTGGTTCAGATGAATGTTCCAACGTCTGTCATCATGGATATCTTGCAAGACATCTCTAGACACTAAACAGATCAACCAGATACAACCATTAGTAGCCAGTCCAACCTTCTTTATTATTAAAAGGTTATAAGGTAAGTGTAGCAAGCAAGAAGGGAGGGAGGGCACACCACATCATTTATTTGTCTGGATAGCTAATGACGTCGCAAAATCGATGTTCGGCATTCCTATAATCTTCAGTCATTACTAATCCAAAGAATTTTTTCCATTAAACCTTGCTGAACATTTTTTGGAACTGTGAATAGAAAGACGACTTTTATATTCAAGTTATAATTCTAAATAAACCAATTTTTCATAACCCTTTGGGGTTTTTCACCCTGTGTTTTTTTCTCCGCAACTTCAGAAGAGAAGACAAATTTTGGAGAGAAAAAAATGTTTTTATGCGAAGGGTAGGGTAAAGGAAGGTCAAACATCTGGTGGGTGTTCTAAAAAATGTTGAAATAGTCCTTAACTATGTTATTATTCGAGGTACAGATCTAAAATTTACTTACTTAAAAGGCCCATGAAGGATGGATGTAGTAACATTTTTAGCAAACCATCAACTTTATGTAAGAATAGACAACACTGATTCTTGCGGGGATAAAAGCTTAAATGTTTTTAAACGATTAAAAAACGATTACCAGCTCTGCTGATGAAGCAATTTTGTTAAAGCTGTAAGTGTGCGTGCAATTTAGAATATTTTCAAACTTGTTCAAATTCCTAAATTCCTAAATCCAATTCAATAAGGTAAAATAAAAAGAATATCTTTTGATTTAACTCCTAAAACTTAGAACTGAGTTTAAAAGCATTAGTTTTTTGTCACAATTTATGTTAATTTTTCTTATTTTCCATAGCTCTCCATTTAAAAATCTTTTTCGTATTGTTCAAATTTTAATTTCAATGAAAAAAAAATTTTAATTTTTAGTATTGGCTTCTCAATATGGCTGAATGTTGTGTGGTTCTGTTCGGTGACTTCTACTGTAAAACTACTTTTCTGGACGCTGATCTTATTTTCACCATTTTGTCTGGAAATCGTGGATTTAGCGGTATTTTGGACCAAACCAAGATGGCCGCCATTAAGGAAAAAATGGGAGGAAAGTTTGAGAATATTGCTGAAATGGCAAAACAAGCTTTTACTGAAATTAGGAAAATATGTGGCACTAATAAATGTACGCCATAACTAATGAGGGAAATCGTCGTGTTCTCTTTAAAACGAGACATTTTTTTATAAATTTTCTTAATTCTTTCTGATGCAGTTCTAATTTTTAGATAAAAAACTTTTTTTGCTAATTGACATGGGTTTAAAAGGTACCATTGTTAATCGGAAATTAAATTCTTTGAGAAATTACATTGACTGACACTTCAACCTTGGCAAGGATCATTTTCAAAGTTTAAAGGGGAGTAATTTAAAATGCGACTTTAACAATTGTGAGATATATATATATATATCAAATCTTTTCTCACTAAAGTTATTGTCTAAAATGTTGATATTCAGTGGAAAGGTTTCTTTGAAATTTTTCCAGTTTTGTTTTCCTGCAATTTTACCTGTTTTAGTTTTAGAAATTCAAATCAATGCCATATTATTGTAGTGAACATTACGATATAAGGGTTGAGGACGAGGAATTGATCTGGAGAAAAGTAGGAGGAAAGATACAGCTGCGTCTTGCCTCCATCAAACTCACTCCGATCAACTTCAATGACGCTCAGGCGGAAATTATTAATTTTCTTCTTGGATCCGGCGCGAAAAACAAATCCAAGATGGCGGAGATAAAACATGATCTGGAGAAGAAAACAGCTGATTTGGATAAATCTGTGAAAATTAACAAGGAGCTTGCCGTAGCCCAAGAGGAATCACGTGAGAGTTTGCTCAAACAGTTTGTGCAGATTTTGAACACCAAAAAACTAAGAATTCGAGAACTTGAATCTGAACTTAACCAGATTCACAAAAGGTGATATTTAAATTCATTAAATTAGGAATTGCAACAAGTCAATTAGAGGTCAGTGGCCTCAGACCGAAAACTTTCTTGTGAAATAGCAAAAATTCAAAAATTCTCCTTACTTTCTTAATTTTAGAGCAAAAGTCAAATAGGTTTACTTTTACTACTCACATTATAAAAGAAAACATAAATAACATGATACAGAAATTTATCTTAAATTTGATGACCAAATATGTAAAATGTGACTGACATTTTGAATTTGACGAATTTTCTTTTGAAATTATGACAATTTTCTGACGAAATTGATTATTTTTAGGGTTGGCCCTGAAGCTTTCGAGGGGAGTGATAAAGAAAGTGATTATGATGCTGCAACCGACGACGAAGAAGAAAATGACGATTTTAAAGATGAATCAAATGAGAGGAAAATCGGGGGCGGATTAAAACGTAAATTTGAAAATACTTTTGATGATGGAGAAAAGTGTAAATCTTCAGAAATGAACAGCAGTCTTGAGGAGGGTTTATTTGAAGACGTTTAAATTGAATATTTTGAGAAATTTTAAGTGAAACAGCTGCCCAGCAATCCCAGGGACCAGGATCCCTTCTTTAATATGATATGGATTTTAATGGTTAAGTACCAATTTTTGTAAATTTGTCGTCTTATGAAAATAAAGCACAAATGATCTTTTATATTTGCACACGTGTAGGGTGTTATTTATGAAATGTCAAAAAATTCAAAAACTGCCCAATTGCAAACCTTAATCAGTATCAGTATCAGTTTTTGCATTTTAAATTTTGAAAATGTAGATTTTTAACTAATGAATTCTTAATAAATTCTTTGTGTGTCCTTGTAAAATAGCCTAATGAATTGATATGTATAAAATGTTTGCGTTGTAATGGGGGGGGGGGGGGTTTTTGCTTTTTTGGGGGGGAAGGGGAGTCAGGGTGTACCAGTATACAGGAGCCCACCAACTACAGGGTGTACCAGTATACAGGAGCCCACCAACTTCAGGGTGTACCAGTATACAGGAGCCCTAAAGAGACTGAAGGCGTAATTCTAAATAGACCAGAAATTGAAGAGGCCACAATCATGGAGCAATGGATCACCCAGAGTAAATTCTTCTATCCGCTCTTTTTAGGCACATGTTCGATTCACTAAGGTGCCCTTAAGTTGATTTAGTTTTCCATCTAAAAATTTAGGATTTTTAAATTGGGGATTTCTGCGATTTCAATTGTTCGAGAGTAGAAAGGTTCCGACGATTATAATTTTTCGTCTAAACTTCATGGTTTTTTTGTGAACCCAGTAAAGGCTGTTCTTTACTGCATAGCGGAGGCTCGGTCTGCCTAGCAAATCTGAGAGGCTCATGTCTGCATATCAGAGGCTCATGGCGTCTGGGGGTTCCCTCCCTTGCTGTATGCCAGTATAAACATTTATAGTCATAGTTTTTACATTTACAGGATGACATATAATTGTACCTTCCAAAATTTAAAGAAAGATTTAAAGAAAAAAAATTGTCATGATTTTGATTATTTGAAGAAATCAGTGTTATTTTTATAAATATAATTTATTGGTAAGTTTTAAACTAACAAAGAAACAAGTGAAATAGTTTCTAAACACTTCACATTTTTTTAAATTAAAATTTTTTAACAAATTCTTCATAATAAATGTAAAAATATCTTTTAGTATTCAAAAATAAAGACCTAGTCTGAAAGGGACTCAAAGCATGAATTAGGTTGCAATGTTAATAATTTTAGAAACTGATCATTTTTAATTGTGATTTTAATGAAAAGTGACTTGCGCATTTCTACTACAGAAAATTATCAGAACGCTTTAAAACTTAGAAAATTTCGTTCACATTATTGATCAGATAAGACTTAAGATAAGGGTATCGTTGTGAATCGAGCATTGCCATCTATGCACAGAAAGTGACTTTAAATTACGCTCACAGTCCCGTAATATCGTCTTTTATTATTTTCAGCTCGTTTATGCTCTGAACTGATTTAAGGAGTTATGTTTTTTTTAAGGTTTTTAGCTACTCTTTTTTCCTTGCATTAAAAACAGAATGAAACCATCTGAACTTTCAATCATAATGTACAATTCTTGTAAAATAGAAAGAAATTTCTAAAAAGAATATTATGCTTTTAGAGAAGTAAAAAGCAAAGGCTAGTTCTGTTAGAGAAAGGAAAATTACATACTCATTTTTCATTCAATCTACACTTAGAAACAATTTTGATTTAATTCACCACTTCTGGTAAATATTGAATTCTAAACTAATAAATGAACTCTAGGCCACCTTCCTTCCCCCCCCCCCACATGTGTAAATGTTTAGTACACTACAGTGATCGGCGTTAATATCAATACAATGAAGACGACTTTTCTTTTTAAGCTTAGATTTCTAAAATCTTGGAAAGACGGCATCTAGTGTTCTATCTCTGTGTTGTTATTATTCTATAGTTTTTTTTCTGTAACTGTAATTCGAGAATTAAAAAGAAAGACATGTTATGCAAGAAAGAAGGAAAACTAAACTAAGTAATAAAATATTTATGATAAAAACCTTAGGCGGTTTTACCCCCCCCCCCCCCCCCATGAGTAGAGGCAGAGGGGGGGGGGTTTAATTTTTTTTATTTTTTTATCTATTCTCCCTTGCTGGAAGCCTGAAAACCGCCCTTGAAAAAATAACATAGCAATACAATTTTGCGTACTGATGTCATAAATATTTCTACTTTTGACAAATATTAACGCAAAACATCCCTCACTCCTGTCCTCTTTCGCCCCTCATATCACTTTTTTTTAACATATTGTATGTTAGAGTTTACAAAATGTAACAAAATGTAAAAAACTGATAGTGAAAGACAAGTGATAACGACTTGTAATAATCTTCTTGGACCCATGTTCGACTCCCCCCCCCCCCTTCTCCAGCCCAACCCACTCTGTATCACCTCCCACAACAAGTCCAGCAAGTTAAGTATAAAGTCAGGTGATTTTAAAACATGTTTAAATTAAATATATGTCAAATACAGTGAAACCCTTAATAACGAATACATCGAAAGAATTCATCAAATATCGTATTCTTCACTTTCTGATAATGGAATGTTGCAGACATTTAGTGATTAAATGATTATATGGAACTCTTTAAAACTGTTCCCGCATATTCATGACTATTTATTTATTTTCGCAAAAACTAAAATCTACGTAATAAAGTATAAAATTCATTGAAAAATTGTCAAGACGACATTTGATAAATTCTTCCGATGTATTCGTTATTAAGAGTTTCACTGTATTTATTGCAAAATAAAGTTATAAAGCAAAAAATGTGCTTAAAACAAAAAGTGCGCGAAATATGAGAAATTATACATTTTTTAAACACCCTTACAACGGCGAATTCAAATATGCAAAAATATTTGCCAAATTTTCTAAAACGAAATTTGTAATAAAAGGGAGTGTTCGCGAAAAATATTCGACGGTGATTGCTACTAATTTTACTTCTATCTGTTGCGTCTATAAGGAGAAAATTGTTTAAAACGACTCATACCGAAGAACGTAGCGTCCATACAAATTCAGAATGTTGCAATACTCGACTCGGATCGTAAAAAAATCAATTTAATTCCAAACAAATCATTCAAATATTATAACCTATAATCAATTTTTTTTCGACGCATTCATAAAAACTGATATTTCATAATATTTTTTAATTATATCGCTTACATACTTGTTTTTACGGCTGGCGCTGGATTTTCGAACATTCCTGGAAAATACAAAAATGTCTTCATTATCAAAAATCCTCAAACCACGAATGAATATTTTCAAAAGTAACTCTTCGGTAGTCGTTTATAACAATTTTCTACTTACAGACGATAAAGACGCAACAAATGTAAGTAAGATAAGTAGCAATCACCATCGAATATTTTTCGACGTAAGCCTATACCCCTTTCAATTTTTCGCGAAAGAAATAGACATTTTTGCACGGGAAAATAAATATTATAAGTCATAAATAATTTTAAGATTCTGCAGAATTTTAATTATTTATTTTTAAGAGGAAAGCAAAGAAAATATATTTTAGATATTAAGGTACAACATTTTTGACTAAAGAAAAAACTTTTTTATTTTTATTTTTTCTATTTCTATTATTTTCAGATTTTGCCAATCCTTAGGGAGTTTAGCATGGAAGTTGTAAATTTACTACAATCAACACATCAATTATGGAATTTACTACAATCAACACATCAATTATGGAATTTACTACAATCAATGGAATTTACTACAATCAACACATCAATTATGGAATTTACTACAATCAACACATCAATTATGGAATTTACTACAATCAACACATCAATTATGGAATTTGCTCCTAATCCCAATTATAAATGCGTAAAAAAATTTTATTCTGTAATTCGAAAAGTGGAAATTTTCTTCTTTTTTCGTTGTATTTATTTAAGGTTTTTAATATCCAATTGAGCGTTCATTCTATTTAAGGGACTTAGTATTTTTAGATTCAGTTCTATTTTGCACATTCTTAGGAGTTGATAAAAATAACAAAGAGACTGATGAAATTCAAAACATTGATATTTTTATCCTGAGAATGTCATTTGCTACTCAGTAAGTAAAGAACTAGAAATCAAGTTTTGTGAGATTATGAAAACGGAAATTTACAGGTCTACGATGATGAAAAAACGACTTTTTATGCAAGTATTGTATATATTTGGCGGTGCAGTATGCTGTTCTGTTTAATTTGACGGTGCAGTATGCTGTTCTGTTTAATTTGGCGGTGCAGTATGCTGTTCTGTTTAATTTGGCGGTGCTGTATGCATGCTGTTCTGTTCAATTATAACTTATGAAGCCCTTTCCTGATTGGGAAACTCGAAAGAACCACGGGAATGTTCTTGGCTTGGCATAAAAATTTCTATTGAGCGGATTAACTTTTAAAGGGGAAACTTAATTTTCAGTCAAAGCTGGGTTCCCAAGCTGTTTATTCTAAAAAGGCTGGATTTGCAAAGGAAAACGTAAGTACAACGTCCTCCATTAGTTAGCTTCTCTTCCGCCGGAAATTCCCATTTTTTGCGCTTCATAAATTAAGTAAAATTTCGATGTACAGGGTGTCCCAAAAAACATGGGAATTCAGTGACGAATTCGATATCGTCTTTTCAAATAATTCTTTGATTTAGTATAGTGATACCTACTGAGAAAGCTGTAATCTGTAAGAGTTTCGTCTGCTATGTTTACATTTTGTTTGTTTATGTTTTGACTGTATACGGTTGTACTTAGTAAAACAAGAAAATTTCAGTATACAAACAGAGTAAACTTGTCCGTATTCACTGTTCATCTTGCGGAGACATTAGACACATCTTTGCAGTCTTTTACCCTTTTCATTAAATAAACTCTAGGAGACATAATAATATTATGGCTTTTGAAATTGGGTATTACAATGCTAATTCATAACAAAGACGATATCGAATTCGTCACTAAATTCCCATGTTTTTTGGGACACCCTGTATTTAATTCTTGATTTGGCGCGGAGTTCCGATATAACTGTTTATGATAAAAAAAATCATCTATCAATGGAATACGCAAGAAGAATAAAATGTTCCATAGAGAGAGAGAAGAAATTGGAAAATATATCTCTATGAGTATAAATATCAATGATAATATACTCCAAGGAAGAACTTCTATTTAACGAAAACAAAGAAAC